TACCCCATACCTCTTCGACCCCATTGCCTATGCTCACATTTGCCCATCTATCCTCCAATAGCTGTTTATATCTTACCCTAACTGCCTCCTCTTTTAGTTTATAAACCTTCACCTCTCTCTTCCCTGATGCTTCTATTCTCCTTGTATCCCATCTACCTTTTACTCTCAGTGTAGCTACAACTAGAAAGTGATCTGATATATCTGTGGCCCCTCTATAAACATGTACATCCTGAAGTCTACTCAGCAGTCTTTTATCTACCAATACATAATCCAACAAACTACTGTATTTCGCCCTACATCATATCTTGTATACTTATTTATCCTCTTTTTCTTAAAATATGTATTACCTATAACTAAACCCCTTTCTACACAAAGTTCAATCAAAGGGCTCCCATTATCATTTACACCTGGCACCCCAAACTTACCTACCACACCCTCTCTAAAAGTTTCTCCTACTTTAGCATTCAGGTCCCCTACCACAATTACTCTCACTTGGTTCAAAGGCCTCCTATACATTCACTTAACATCTCCCAAAATCTCTCTCTCTCCTCTACATTCCTCTCTTCTCCAGGTGCATACACGCTTATTATGACCCACTTCTCGCATCCAACCTTTACTTTAATCCGCATAATTCTTGAATTTACACATTCATATTCTCTTTTCTCCTTCCATAACTGATCATTTAACATTACTGCTACCCCTTCCTTTGCTCTAACTCTCTCAGATACTCCAGATTTAATCCCATTTATTTCCCCCCACTGAAACTCTCCTACCCCCTTCAGCTTTGTTTCGCTTAGAGCCAGGACATCCAACTTCTTTTCATTCATAACATCAGCAATCATCTGTTTCTTGTCATCCGCACTACATCCACGCACATTTAAGCAACCCAGTTTTATAAAGTTTTTCTTCTTCTCTTTTTTAGTAAATGTATACAGGAGAAGGGGTTACTAGCCTATTGCTCCCGGCATTTTAGTCGCCTCATACGACACGCATGGCCTACGGAGGAAAGATTCTTTTCCACTTCCCCATGGACAATAGAAGAAATAAAAAAAGACAAGAGCTATTTAGAAAAAGGGAGAAAAACCTAGATGTATGTATATATATATATATGCATGTGCGTGTCTGTGAAGTGTGACCAAAGTGTAAGTAGGAGTAGCAAAATATCCCTGTTATCTAGCGTGTTTATGAGACAGAAAAAGAAACCAGCAATCCTACCATCATGCAAAACAGTTACAGGTTTTTGTTTCACAGTCATCTGGCAGGACGGTAGTACTTCCCTGGGTGGTTGCTGTCTACCAACCTACTACCTAGACTTTATTATTCTTGGTAGTATTATTTTTGCCGTAATGATGCTGGTAGTAGTGATGATAATAGTGCTAATATTAGTGTGATTTGGACAGTAATCATGAAAGTAATATTAATAACACAAATACTAAATAAGGGAGCTTCTAACAGCAGTGCACTTGACATAGGGTAAATAGATGTGGTAACTTAAAGCTCGTAATAATAATAATAATAGTGCTGATAGTGCCTAGTACTTAGTACATCTTTCTCTGATATTATTGCTGAAAATAGAATAACAGGACTCACAATTACCATCATTTAAAGCTAATAGTTGTTTTCATAACAATGCAAGCGACGACAGTAGTAAAAAAAACGCACTTACGAAAATGTAAACAAATGAATAAAAATACACATATATGAATCAGATAACAGATACTCATGTGTAGGTAACACACCCACACATGCACAGATAACATGAACAAGTAACACATACATAACACACACACACACACTTATAACACAGACAGGTAACACACACATGTGGACAAGTAACAGACTACACACAGACAGGTAACACACACATGTGGACAAGTAACACACACATGGACAGGTAACACACGCTTATGAACAGATTCAAACACATGAACAAAAAGTTAGACATGGAGCAGATAACACAATATGTTAAACAAAATATAAAATTTAAATTACTCTTGCCTATCCCATGAAAAACTGTATTCTCTGGTAGACACGACATCTGTGACAAGTGGACTTGTATACTCCTTGATACAAGCTATCACTTCTTATATAGCAACTTAAGTCATACACAAATAACCCGCACATACTTACGACGACGTTTCGGTCCGACTTGGATGGACCATTTACAAAGTCACACTGTCGGACCGAAACGTCGTCGTAAGCTCCTCTCTCCTATGTGCGGGTCATTTGCGTATTGTTCCAGTCACAGTATTGTGACTTTCGTCTCAACTCGTCATGTTCTAGCATTCTCTTGAATTGGTACAGAGTATTTGTGTTGTTACATATATGTTTTATATGCTGCAATTCCAAGTTTTTCATGGTAAAAAGCTTCACCAAAAGTTGTGTTATGAAGCTCGGTTTTCTTTGGTTAGGAAGGAATAGTTTATTTCTAAATAAGCTGATTTTGACAAGGAGATAATGATTTCCTTGGATCAAGAACTTTTCATCAGCAAGAAGGCAACTGCGAGGAATGGAGCAAGAAGTAATGCCTCCACATTCAATAATTACCTTCTATAAGCAAATTAATATGAAGGAGATAAATAGGCCTAATGATCCATGTAGATAGGTCCTCGACACAATTATTCACACATGAACATACGTATATATTGAAAAAAATGTACACAAATTGCCGCTAACAGTATTTAATGTTATGAGAGTTTGATGGAGAAGCAACGTAGGGAGGAGAGGAAGGCAACCTCGCACTTCTGGTAAGGTAGGCCTATACAGTCCAAAATAAACTTGAAATTGACTCACAAAATCGTTGAAATTAGTTGTGCACCATGCAAACATACATACACACACACACACAAGCATACCCACCAGGCCACGTACACATACAAGGACATTCACCATACCACATACACACACGACATTTACCGTGCTACGTACATACGCAAGTATATCCACGTACATAAACGTACATAAACCATGCCACGCATACAAACAAGTACATGAACCACGAAATGGACACACACAAGTACATCCCCCATGCCACGTACACACAAACATATCCAACATGCCACGTACCCACAAGTACATCCACCATGTAACGTACACACACAGGTATCCACCATGCCACGTACACACACAAGCACATCCAACATCCTGCGTACACACAAATACATCCACCATGCCACGTACACACAAAAACACATTCACCATGCCATGTATACACAAGCTCATCCATTCTACGTACACACACAAGTATGTCACGTGCACAAAAGTATATCCACCATGCTAATTACACAAAAGTGCATCCATCATGACACGTACACACACAAGTACATCCACAAGGCCACGTACACACCCACACACACACACACACATCCTCCATGCCACGTATACACACAAGCTCATCTACTATTCCACGTACACACACAAGCACGTCCACTATGCCATGTATATACACTTAGTTACACCCGCTATGCAAAGTACATAGAAAAGTACATCTACCACGCCATGAACATAGATACATATACCATGCCACGTACACACAAAAGTACATCCACCAAGCCACGAACACCCAAAAGTACATCCCCCATGCTACGTACACATACAGGTACACCCACAAGCAGATCTACTATTCCACGTGCACACAGAAGTACATTCCCAGGCAACGTACACACACAAGCGCACACACAATGTCACGTACACCCACAAGCACATCTACTATTCCACGTGCATACACAAGCACATCCCCCATGCTACGTATAAAAGCACATCCACAGTGTCACGTACACACAAGCACATCCACCATGCTACGTACACAAGCACATCCGCCATGCTACGTACACAAAAACATCCGCCATGCTTCGTACACAAGCACACCCACAATGTCACGTACACACACAAGCACGTTCACCACGCCATGTACACACACAATTACATCCACCATGCCGCGTCCACACACAAGTACATCCACCATACCACGTACACACACAAGTACATCCACCATACCGCGTACACGAACAAGTACATCCACCATGCCACGTACCCACACAAGGACATCCACCATGCCACGTACACACACAACCACGTTCACCACGCCACGTACACAAACAAGTACATCCACCATGCCACGTACCCACACAAATACATCCACCATGCCGTACACACAGTACCCACATGACAAAATACATCCACCATGCCACGTACACACACAAGTACATCCCTCTGAAGTATGATTAGGAGTATATTTCCGTTCTTTCAAACAAATATTAAAGTCAAAGGTAATTAGGAGTAGTGTTTTCTTTTATTTATTAAATGCCTTAAAACAAATATTTAATTACTTCTAATATACAATACACCACTTGCAAGTTTATTGCAAGAAAACACTTAAATTATTAACAAATGATTACAAAAAAATGCACAAAATAACTTATATGAAATGCAGACAAGTAATCAGTTATATAAGTCACTCAGAATGTGATGAATAAAATGGAAAACTTCCTGAGTTGTCTCATACATATTGTATGATTTTCAATCATGAATGTTAGCATCCCAAGACAGCCAAGTAGTGTTTTAATTTCCAGTTTGGTCCTTTGAGTTTCTTGCCCAGGATGCGACCCACACTTGTCGACTAACTCCTAGGTTTTTATTTACTGCTTGGTGAACAGGGGCAACAGGTAAAAAGTACTTAACCTCTCCGTCCGCCTCAGGATCGATCCCGGGACATTCGGCTGTGAGGCTAGTGCACTCCCAATGAAACAGTGGTCACTTGAATTGCATCACACAATGAATATATAAATTTTTATTTATCCAGAATTCTGACATTCTTCCATGGATATAACTAACCATTTATTTATAATTTCCCCTATGGTCTAACTTAGAATTAGTGCGTAAATTTACGCTTGGGACACTTCTCAGTATTTATCTATTAATACAATCCTTTCACTGAGTCTTCGACGACCAAAACCGATTTTTTATTTCATCTAATTTATTCATATAAACAATTCGTATAATTTAGTATATGTAAGTAATTTATATTCCTGTTGTCTTTAAATTCAAATTTTATATAATATAGGTAACCAAAGTGACATTATTTATGAGTTCCTTTATTTACCCAATAAGACTTGAGCAAAGTCTTAGGAAGTCAGCATGAAAACCACAGGTTCAGCTACTGTAATGAATATCCAATACATATTCTGAATCATTTATAAGATAGCATCCAGAAGCTATATTTCACGTGTAACAAGGTCACCATCCATTGCACATTGTCTAAATGATTATTCTCAAATAAAAAATATGAATTAAAATTCAATAAAATCTCGAAGACAAATTTCTCGTTTGACAGGTTAATCATTGCAAATTGACTATTTGTTGTGTTGTATTAAGTAGTACAAAAAAGTCTCCATCCTTTACGCAGCTTCTGTCTTGGATAATGTTAGGATATTTAACCATTTATAGGTTCATGCATGAACGTACTTTATGCCTGGCTGTGTATAGTTTGTGTTACAAAGTTGCATTCTTTTCCTATCACAATGTTGACAGCGATTCACAATTCTTAAAAATTATGGGGGCAAAATAGTAAGAATTATTTGCATTGCGTAAATAACAAAAGTTTCCAGCTGAGCAAGTTACTACGAAGTCAGTCTTGTAGGACTAGGTAAAATATAAATCATTTATTATTAATATAAAATCATTAATTGGAGCATACATAGATAATTCAACCAGGAAAATAATACCAACATTAAATGCTCCAGTATAGTGTTACAATGCACGGAAAGTACACAAGATCAAATTTTATTGATATAAAAATTACCTGCTATAATGTCTGATACATTTTTTCAACAAAGAATTGCAACAACTATACGCAGTTCTATACTAAAAAGTCCACTAAAACGAAAGTCAGTTCCTCATGTTTTAGGACTTGCTATTCTACGTTTTAGTAGAATAACAAGTCCCAAACATAGGTAGTCCAGGTATAGCTTATTGGTAAGTGTGTACATATGATTTAATTTTAACTACCGTATTTATTTTTATTTATTTTGGGTACAAGTATATTCGTAGTACTTCCTGGATCACATGTTTACATGCACACAAGTTCAAAATATACATTATCATTTTCCTGAATAAATATTAATTTGTCTTACAAAATTTTGTAAAAATCGAGTACCATGATGAGCATTAGTCTACATAGAAATATATTATCAGATGTAATATTTCATTCATGGGAGAGCGAAAAACCCGTGGAAGTCTTATAAGGTCTGGGGAAATGAAAAGGCAATCAGGTTCTAGCCAAGAAAGGGAGGGGAGGTACAGGTTCAACTCCTATTATCAACGGCACCCTCACCGTTATCTAGACACTGTCAAAGCCTAAGCATGTCTAAAGAGGATCAAGGTGAGTTATCCTCAGACACTAGCATCCAATGATAGTCTTGTTATTTTACAGATTTTATTTTTGAGATTAATACTGTTACACCTAGATCAAGGTAAATTATTTATTCTCTTAAGAATTTTATCTAAACATGATTTTTTTTTTCAAAATGTAGAAACAGTTTGTAATCTATTAATTATTCCATACATGACTAACTTAGATAATGTTTTAGCTATATACTCAATATCATTACCTGGCGCTGAGTGCGCACTTTACCTGGCACTGAGAGAGCATTGAGGTCAACGTGTGGTAAGAATATATATAGTATAACAATGTGCATATTTACATAGAGGAAAAGAAGGGAGCTCAGGATAACTTCTTATAAGACTCCAACTGCTATCGACGAAGTGCTTAATTTTGTGCTCTTAAATTACAAATGAACAAGTCTACAGATGCTGTGTCAATAGCTAGATGATGTTTCACAAATTATGTCGAGTTCGTTGTGTCAGAAATAGCTTCCATGTTGTTCTAAAGAACGAGAGCACAGTTATTGACAAGGACATTTGTGTTGTTGGAGAATCTCAAATTAATATAGATAGAGCATTCTTCAACAGGAATAAGAAGGCAAGAGAGAGTTTCCATGGAGGAAGTATAGGTGATGTAGGTAATAGTTTAGATAATGTCAGATCAGGAAATGGGAACAACTTCATTACCTGACTCAGCACTAGATGCAATGATGTTATAAAATACAGGACAAAGGATGGGATACAGATAATTTGAAGCATTTTGCCCAGAAGAGGATTGTGCAGTGAATGATGTCTTCGCAATTTGTGTATATTGCTATCAAGAGAGGTACTGCAAGGAACATGAATTCCATTCATTAACAGCTGGGAAAAATTCTAAGGCATATAAAATAAATGCCAGGGATGGGGCATCTTTTTTTTTGTGCCATTAGTGAAACTGTCGAAAATTCAGTCAAAGCAGACGTTGCTAAACTGTATAAGACTTTAAACTGAGTGAGTGAGTAAAACAAAGGAGGTACAGTACTATAGACTGAAGGAACAAAATATTGCCAGGATACATCAGGAAAACTTTCAGAAAACAGGATAGCTAATACAACTGATAAAAACAATAAAGTAGACTACAAATAATGGAGGGAAGCGAGGAGAAAATGACCTTATCTACTTTAGCCGGAGAACAAGAAATAAAATAGATGCTCTAAGACTTGTGCAAGAAGCATTATAATACTGCAATAACCGAGAGATGGACTAAGCTGAAAAATAAGAATATGTCTGCCGAATACTACCTACAGGAGTATAATTTTTTCACACTAACAGACTCAACAGGAAAGGAGTTACGTACGGTAGTGGAAAATCTTAGATGTTGCACCAGAAACAATATAATTGCGGAAGGAAGGAACGTGGCCTTTGGCAACAGTTGCACGAAGAGCATGAAAAGCTAATATCAGGTGTAAACTATAGACCCAAAGCCTACATAGTAACCTAGGTAAATTTCTTTGATGGGAAACTGTCAAGGCATCAGAACTGCACCAATTTGACTAGAAATCTCAAATTAATATCTTTGTGAAAATAGTCCAGGGCTGCCTTTAAAACAGTTTGTCAGTGACAACTAGAGAAAACAATCCATCTAACTTGGTTCAGGCAAACTACAAATCTCTGCTAAACAATATTAAGGTTAATAAAGATGGTGAGGAAAGAGATCACAAATCATTTAGTTTCAGTGTCCCAGTCAATTAGCGTAATATCCACAGCAAAATTATTAAGGCGCTCATTTTTTTTTTTTTGCTTCAGATTAAATTTACGATAAGGATTACATAGAATAGTGAAGACTGGAGTAACCTGCCTGGTGATGATCGTTAAGGAGGCCGGATGGATGGTGGTGCTGGTGACTAATATGAAATTTTCCAAAGTGTTATAGAAGCTGCCCATCAAACCATACCACTGGGCGGGATTTGAACCCGCGGTCAGTGTAAAAAGAAAGGCATTTGTAGGTTAATGAAAAGAGCAGAATATCACCATATTGACCAGTAAGTTCAATTTAAGAGAGAAGTCAAGAAAAGGAATAAGGAAAGACAGGGGAGAATATAAATCTAAGGCTGCAAGATAATCAAAGACCAGTCCAAAGGGTTTCTTTTAGGTATAGAGGAATAGGATTAGGGTAAAGATACACCAACTGAAATATAACTCAGGTTAGCATACTCTTAGAGAAAAAGATATGTGAACCAATTTTGACAATTTTTCCTCTGTTTTAACACAAGAGGATACTAATGACACCACAAAACACAATTATTATACAGGTCAGGGCGATAATAAAGTATGCACAATCAAATTCATAATTGATCTGTTCTTAGACAACTCAATACACTGAACCAATAGCATCACCGGGCTACGATGTACTATTTTAAGTGTTATAAAGGAAAGTAAGGAGGAATTTAACAAAGTATTAGCTAGTTTCTTCAAGAGATCACTACAAACGGGTATCTTGTCATCGGGTAACTGGATAATGCTATATGATATAGCCAGAAAGAAAGTAAGCGATAGATCCTTAGCTTCAATTGATAGACCAGACAGCCTAACCTCAGCTGTGGGAAAAGTTGATGTATAAATAATTGCTGATATATTACTAAGCCATTATGAACGATATAATTTGATCCATGTCTGCATGATTTTACAAAAAAAAAAAAAGGCCTTCCACACTATGATTTTCGAGGCTAAGATACAAATAGTTTTGTGTATGTATATGGACTTCAGTAAGACCTCAGAGTTTCACACAACTTTCATTATTAATAAACGAGGAATAAATAGTGACTGTAAATTAGAAGTAAAATTATATCCGATGAGAATTAGAAAACTACAGAATGGCCAGGATAAAAATTGTAATAGAATACCGTGGCTGCAAAAATTGATGTGTGTAATAGGAGGAATAGCAGTATTAGTAGTAGTACAAAAGAGAAAAAGAACATAAGAGCCCTGCAAGAGATCTATTGTTCCACAGTGGGAAAGCCTAGTGACAGAGCAATAAGAGTAAATTACATTTTACAGTGGTGGAGAATGAAGTAACTCAACTCTCCAACACCTGTCCCAAAGGGTATAAAAAAAACAGCAGTTGGGCTAACTGGCTCAAACTTGGAAGGGAAGAAAGCAAGAACGAGGATATTCAGAAGGCAGGGAAGGCAAACAAGATGCAGAAGACATATGCAAACGAAAGGAGGAGGCAAAGGTCTAGTCATGTTATGAATGCTGTTAAGATTATGAAGAGTGGAAAAGTGGGGAATAAAAAAAGCAGAGATTTCAGAAGAGAAGTGAGTTTAGGGTAGGACAAAAGGCCCGTTTAGCACAAGAGTTCGGAAAGTTTCTGAAATCGAAAGGACAATGAGAGAAACGAGCTGAGTAGTGGAGATTTCAAATTCGAGAAAGTGAGGATCGTAGATCCTCATACAAAGAAGTACTAAAAGAAAAAAGAAATACTAAAAACGGACTCCATTACCGTTAACATCTTAACAGCGCTGAAACTGCACAAAATATTCTTGCAGTTCACTATAACATTCTAAATCTATAAGTATGTTCTTATTAATATTTTTATAAGTGTGAAAATCGCAGGGGTTACAGAGTACCTAATAAATGGGAGACAAGTTTGACTATAATATATGAGAAGGGTAACTCCAATTTCTTGGACGAAGAGCTCTTTCTTTGCATAAAGGCACCCTCTGGAAGAATTTCATATACCTAAAGCTTCCACTCAATATCACCAGTAATTTTTCAGATCTCTCGCACTTGGTTCCAGGCAAGAATTTAGTGTTATTTATGAATAAACACTTCAGTGCTTGTTATCAAGTCTTTTATAATGTTAAGCATCCTTGTTCTGTCTTTTTTTATAAAGAGAGTGGCATTAAAGTGTCAGGGAAATTAGGTTTAAACCCATTCTATTAAGCAAGGGTCATTGAGTCAAGGCTGCGTGTAACCTGTTCACTACCAGTCAAGAATACTTTAGTTCCACACGAGAGATTAAACTAAATTCTTAATGAATTTACACTGAGAGATACAAACATCTCGGTCAGTATACACTGAGAAATAAATACCTCTGTGTATAAACAATGATACACAACTCTAGGTGTATATAAACTAAGGGATATATGCCTCTCACTGTATATATATATAAGCTGAGAGACACGTGTTCTGGTGTATATATCCTACTGAAGGTACTAAAACATACCGATAGACTCTTATAACATAAGAATTTCTTAGTTTTATACTTTCTTCCGTAAATACAACGATTTAAAAATAAGTAAAGTCAATCTTAACCTAAACTGACAAACAAAGCTTTTATAGGAACGAAATAACCTCCTAAGTTTTCAAAATATAAATACAAATACACAAATATATTAACAAGAATAAAAATGTATATATCTACGAGTACATAAATGAATAGAAAAGAACACAAACATATATATATATATATATATATATATATATATATATATATATATATATATATATATATATTTATTGGCAGTTTGGAGGGATATGTTGTGTATCTTTATACGTATATGCTTCTAAACTGTTGTATTCTGAGCACCTCTGCAAAAGCAGTGATAATGTGTGAGTGTGGTGAAAGTGTTGAATGATGATGAAAGTATTTTCTTTTTGGGGATTTTCTTTCTTTTTTGGGTCACCCTGCCTCGGTGGGAGACGACCAACTTGTTGAAAAAAAAAAATATATATATATATATATATATATACAGGATAATTTCATGCACTCTTATTGTCAAACATGCAAAATAATTAATAGAGAAGAATGTTTTATGCTTTAGACGAAATTCTTTAATTTCTAAGTTCTATTCTTTCACTCGCTCATTTGTAATTTATTAAAACACTAAAATATCTACCATTCTTGTCTACTGTAAAATATTAGAGAGAGAGAGAGAGAAAGAGAGAGAGAGAGAGAGAGAGCGAGCGAGCTTTATGGACGGACAGACGGATGACTGGAGGTTGCTAGTGGTTGCACAGTCGATACCCGGACATTAAAGGTATCAGCAGTAGACAGTTCTTGTTAAGATCAGAGTGAGGGCCAGGGCCAAATGGATGGTGAGGTGCATGCTGGGAACGATTGGCCCTCTGTTGTAGAATGGACAGTACGGACACTGAAGGCAGAAAAAAAACACTTCATTGTTGATCATCCAACTCCACTCAACTCATTTACACACAATATAAAACTTTACGTCTAGAGCTGAAAACAATATTTACAATATTTCTCAAAAGAGTGACATTTTGGACTCAAATAGTGTCTTGACCAAAGTAGCGAACTCTTTTTTTTGAGACATTTACAGCCTAAGCTTTACTTGCACCACATAAATGTGAAGAATTAGCTACTAGCGGTTACTGCTCAAATTCCGGATTTAAAAAAAAAAAAAAAAAAAATTCTGTTGCCCCCTTTATCCCTGCTTTCCCTGTTAACTTCTCATTAGCCAACCATGTATAGGTTCGCCAGTACAGCATTAAGTAGGGAATACATGGGCAACCCAAAAGTCTGTTGAAAAAGATCATTTTTCAAGAGAGAAACATTTGAAACCACAAAGTTTCAGCCAGCGATTTCATCGACCTTGTTGGACTGAGAGTTGGTGAAACCAACTCACAGACTTTGACTACCCAGGGGTTCTCCATTTAGTGCTGTACTGACGAACCTTTACATAGAACATCTAGAAGCCGAGCGATTTTCCCTCTATTATTCCCTCTTCAGTCACCTGGCTCAGTTATGTTTACGACATTCTCAACATAACTCCCAGACGCTGCAACGTTCCTGCTCTCCAACACAAGCTCAACCATGTCGAGCCCTTAATGCATTTTACACTAGAAGTCGACGACACACTTCCTTTCCTTGATGTTCTCTGTAAAGTTGACCACAAACTTCATTTGAAGTCTTGTTATTCCCATGTCAAGGTCATTATTGTACAACCGATCCTTGTGGAACGTAAGGAGTGACTGGTCCCCATTAGATTTCACCCCATTTATACAAACTCTGCTTTCTTTCGATCAGTCACGCTTCCTTTCAGGACTGATGCTATCCTCCTGTACCATGAGCAGCTACCTTTTTAAACAGTTTTTTGTTTGGTACTCCATCGAAAGATTTACTAAATCCAAATAAATAGGATCGTACTCTTTATCATGGTCCATTGCCTCAAATACTTTACTGAAGAATATCAGTAAATTTGCCAGGGATGAACAATTCCTTGTAAATCTATGTTGAGACTAATCAAATTATGCTCTTCAAGGCTGCTTATCAAATCGCCTATATTTGATCCTATTATTTGATGCTTATTGTTGAGAAAAGGTTTACTGGGAGGTCATCTGATGACAAAGGCTTATCCCATGATTTAAAGATTTAAATTATATATATATCTTTTAGCCTTCTACCATATTTCTGGCAGTAACTCTGGAATGCTGTTAAAAATAACAGCTAGTTGCTCACTAAGTTCCATCTTGCACTCTTGAATTCTTGAAAAATGTTCAATTGGAGCAGGAAACCTAATTTTCTTCAATATGTGAACCTGCTTAATAACTACATCACTAGTGACTATGATATTACATAAATTTTACCTTAGGTTCACGATAATTATTAGGATATAGTATGTGCTTTCTTGTGTAAGATAGAAACGAAATAATTGTTAAATATTAAAAATATTTCTATATTGCTGTGAGCAAACTGTCCAGAGTTAGTCTTAATTGGACCGAACTTTTTCTCAAGCTTTTGTTCTGTCTGGTTGTAAAAGTCTTTTTGGATTAATCTTTGATTCCTTTACAACTATAATTACACAGCCTCGTTCAGTTTTTCTCTTCCCCTTGTAATTTGTTGCATTATTATAATAATCCTGGACCTTCCTTATCTTCAGCTGCAGCCCTTTTCTTGGCACCATCTTCCAGTCATTGTGGCGGGTCCCATCGTGGCAGGTACGATTTTCCTTGCTCTTTGGGATACCCCATTTACTCCCATCTTAGTCGCTAATCATCTTCCTTGCTTCCTATAGTTCTTGCTTAACCTGAAGGTACAGATGCTGACATCTCAGGTGCGCCGACCTTACCATATAAGAAAGCTATGAAACGAATAAGCTAAGCAGATCTTTACCGGAAAAAGGTCATCGTCCACTAGCTTACTGGGAGTCTCGTCCAGCTAAGTTCGCAGGTTTTATTTAGAAAGCAGAACAAATTCATGTTACTGGACGACATGGCTGGAACCAGCTCACTGTGTCGCGGATGCGTGGGAGGAGGATCGATCCTTCACCTGAACTTGGACTTACCTATACGGGCTTAGAGCTTCATGAATTATATTGCAGCCATATATAGAGCGTATTATTCCACACTGTCTTTTAATATAATAATTCCAACTCTTATTGCAATTCTGCGTATGTATACTTGTAGCCAGATGAGCAAGATATGGAGATATTATCACAGCATACAAAATACTCAGTGACATAGGGTAAATAAACGTACGCTCTTTAGCAGGGATGTACCAAGTACAAGAAGACATTGTTGTAAATTACACACTAATTTCTTCTACAAAATAGCACGAGATGAACAATGAATGACATTAGAAATGAACTCTCTACAGAGGTTCAAAAATATACATTAAAAGATTATTTCATATAGTTGAGACTTAAGAGGCAGGACAACAACCTGCTAATTACCCGACCTCAAACTTAGTAATACCGTATGTGGGATATTATTTTTATCCTATTTAGAATATCGCACCTACAAGGTGGCTGGAGGTAGAGGTCATGTCAGGTCAAAGGCAACAGGTGGGGTAGTTAAGCGTCCACCCTTGGGTAAATGATGCCATAAGTCATGTTGGGTCGTTTTCACTTGTCCTAGCTGAGGCAAGGGACAGTACCTCTATCATGACAGACCGAGGATGGAGACAAGATTTGTGTTTTAAAGCAAAGGCTTGCCAACAGGCACCGCTACTTGACTCATTCAATCATTCTGCTCATTGTGTGGTCTCATCTGATGTGCTCACTCAGTACCACAATCCTATCTGATGTTGGTCTGATTATGGTTCTGTGATTTAGTGTGTGTAAATAACCCAAGTATTCTTCAAGCGTATCTCTTCCCATAATATTATCTTCCTGTAGCTTAAGTGTTCCGTGTTAAATGTAGGTAATGTGTGTGCTAATAATGTGTTTAAGTACAATGGAAAATTTAGTAAAAAGAGTTGATTGTCCCCAGTGCATACAACACTTGGTATATACAAAAACAAGTATATACAATTGCTAATATGTACAACAGGAAGCAAATACAACAGCAAGTATGCACTACGGCAAATATAGGCAACAGCAAGTACAGTACGTACTTCAGCATGTATGTACAACAGTACACATTTGCAACAAGAATGATATACAGTAATTCATATACAGTAACAAAACACAATATTCAAGAGTCATAATAAAATAAAACACCGACCTGGTAAGAGCCACACACTTCGCACAGGTCGAGATCGTAGAGCGGGTACACCTCCATGAGGGTCATGTTGAAGCGCTCTGCACGAACAAAAACAATACGTTAATATAACACGTAACATCAACACAGCACCTGGGACCTCACTTGACTTATAAAGGATCACCCAGCTACCAGAAACAACTGTCCACTGCATACAAGGGGCTTTGGCATGCTGCACTTTAAAAACTGTATTCCTTGTACTTCTCTGTATCATGTTCAAATTAGTAAATAAATAAATAAATAGAACACCCAGAGGGCTCACCAGGCTAGTAGAGGATGATCATCTAGCTAGAATAAGCACCTGCCCACCAGGCTAATAGAGGATCACCTAGGTAGAATAAGCACCTGCCTACATAAAATACTACCAACACACCCAGGAGGCTCACCTAGCTGGTAGAGCATGATCTTCCTAGCAGGAAGCATTTATGCATCTGTAGCACTAACATGGCACGCAGGGAGCTCCCCTGATTGTTAGAAGACCACCTAGAAAGAAGAAATCAGCATAGCCAGGGTACTCACCTGGCTGGTAGAGGTCGTAAACTCTGGCCATGTTGTAACGGGAATGGTTAGCCACCGGGTGCCACCGCTCGATCTCGTACGTTAGACATGTCTCATTGGTGTCCAGCTGGGAACCAAACCAACAAGATCAGTGAGAATTAATAGTGTCATCAATACAGATAAATAAAATGCAATAATTCGTTGGAATTATTAAAAAATACAGCTTATAAATATCTATTATGGTTGAAAAGTATTGATGGCATATATGAAGACAAATGTGCCAGTCACTAAAGGAACTTATATTGGGACAACTTTGCTTTGCATTGAGAATTTTCTCAAGCCAAGATCTGAAAAAGCTTAACAGAGCGACAAGCAGTCTTGTCTTTGAAACTTATATTTCTCACTTCATACAAAATGTTATGAAGAAATTATAATTAAGGAATTACCGTAACACATAAAATTAATAATGAAAATAAAAGTGTGAAATAACCTCCTCCATTAAACAGATCATTGATCTAACCGATGATTCTTTTCCAGGAGCATAAGCCATTCTTGTAGCCAACAGTACTTTCCTTGGCACTTGTGTCGGTTCAGTGCCATCAATCTCATTCCAGGGAAAAAAATGTCCAACTTCAGGAATGCAGAATTTTAGACATTTATGCACATGCCTTATTACTAGTCACATGATGAATATCCTTGCCAAACCTCACCTACTGCCTGCTAGGCGCCCCAGCTGGCAACAATCCCAAACTCAAGGAATAAGACACCCTCATAAAATCCCTGATAGAAGGCGTCCTGAGCCTATCCCTTGAAGGCATACAGTGGATGCATGCATCACCTTAGTCAGACTTGGTAGACAGGGAATGTGAACAGCCTCTCAAATTACCCAGTCAGTTATCCTCCTCCCTAACATCAGATGAGCCATTAAACCAAATTCTTCCTGACGACCTGGGTAGAACAAAACCCCAGCTGCAGCAGGGCCATTAATCATTATGGGACTCATTACTGCGGTACCAAAACCAGCTGTGATGCTGACCTACAAGCATTCCAGCTGGGGCAATCCCATTGCATAAAAGGTATAAAAACAGGTTCAGTACTTCTTTAGCGATAATGGGAGTGTTCCTCTCAAAGCTGTGAGTGCACTTCTCTCTGGAGATTCTCCCCCAAAAGTTCCTATTTTAGCACCGGTGCTATTTCTTGCATATGTGACGGAAAGGATAGAATCACAGGTAACACTTCGCAGATTATGTGAAAATAATGAAGAGAATGCAGGAAGACCTGAACCAGGAAAGGCTACAAATTGGTCTGGACAGGTTGCAGGTCTGGTCTGACAAGTGGCAATTTAACCCCAGCAAGTGCAAAGTTATGAAGGTTGAAGAATGGCAAAGAAGACAGATAAAGGAGCATAGGCTCGGAAAGGGGCAAAGGTTAAAAACCTCACTCAAAGAGAATGATCTAGGGTGAGCAAAGCATATAACATGAGGCGCACATTAACCAAATAACTGCTGCAGCAAATGTGTGTCTGGGAAATATAAGACTTGCTTTTAGACATTTCAGAAAGCAGTCATTCACGTAACTGTATACAGTGTATGTGAGGCCCAAATTGGAGTATGCAGTAAAAGTGTGGAACACACACATCTGGTCGAGCATTTCAAAAAACTGGAGAAAGTGCAGAGGTATGCAACGAGGCTAGTTCCGGAACTAAGGGGTATGTCCTATGAGGAGAGGTTAAGGGAACTCAGGCTGATGACTCCAGGATAGAATATCTAGCCATAATATGATAACAATGAACAAAGTATTGAAATAAGTGATAGGATGAAAAAGGACATTTTATTTGAAAAAATGGGAAACCATAACAAGAGGGAAAGGCTTTAAGTTGAAAACTCAGATGAATCACAGGGACATTACAAAGTATTTATTCAGTTATATATTAGTCAGGAAGTCGAATGACCAGGAGAGTGAAATGGTAGATGCAGGATTAATACATATCTTTTAGATGAGGTACGCTAAGTCTCTCGAAGCTAGGAAAGAGTGTATCTAAGAGCGACCAGCGAAGGGGTAGGTCCAGATGAGACTCGGCCCCTTCAACTACATACAGATGACTGGGTACAGGAAAGAACTAGGAGTGATACAGGAACACAAGCACACAACTACAAGTTGACAACACAGGTAAGTCAGAGGGATGTTAAGAAGTATTCACTCTTAGTCAGGAAGTGGATCGATCTGGAGACTAGGGTGGTAGAGGCACGATCCATATACAGGTTTTAGAAAAGGTGCGAAAAGGCTCTTGAAGCCAGGAGAGTGTCAACTCATTAGCGGTTAATTAAAGAAACGGGGCCAGATCCTAGACTCAAGACTTGACACACACACACACACACACACACACACACACACACACACACACACACACACACACACACACACACACACACACACACACACATGCCTGACGACACTGGAGGACAGGAGGGTCAGGGGAACATGAAACGACATATAAAATACTGCGTGAATAGACAAGGTGGACAAAGACAGGATGTTCCGGAGGGGACACAGAAACAAGAGGCCACAATTGGAAGTTGAAGACACAAATGAGTCAGAGAGATAGTAGGAAGTATTTCTTCAGTCATAGAGTTAAGGCAGTGGAATAGCCTAGAAAATGACGTAGTGGAGGCAGGAACCATACACAGTTTTAAGACGAGGTTTGATAAAGCTCATGGAGCGGGGAGAGAGAGGGCCTAGTAGCAACCGGTGAAGAGGCGGGGCCAGGAGCTAGGACTCGACCCCTGCAACCACAAATAGGTGAGTACAAATAGGTGAGTACACACACACACACGCACACACGCACACACACACGCACGCACGCGTGTGGGTGCACGCGCACGCAATATGATAGATCTTCCATACTGAGCAAAAGTAGCCAGTAAACATCTAAGTTCAACCTTCTATTCAGGAACATCTTCTCTCCTCGTAACCACAAATTAGCTTCAGTAAATGAGTAGTCTGAGATTTTTTAGGCATCCCTGAAAGTGTACCTTTAAAAGGTTGCCTGAATTTACTTTTTTTCATCCCACCTCTTTTGAGATTTTATTTTGCGCATAACTGAAAAACGCCTCATCCAATTACCTTCAAATTCTTAACACTTGTGTACGGTAACAAGAGTCAAATTCTAGGAACAATTAGCATGTTCAAAAAGGGCTGCATTATTTAATGGTTGTTGCATCTTAAAGTGTGCAGGCAAATTTGTTAATGCTGTAAAATAACAAAAAAATGGAATAATTGGAATCCGTCATAACTTGAAAACTGACTCGTGTGATCGCTCTCACTTGTTCGTGATTGATGTGGTTTTCTGAACACATTGATGGCCTTTATTATAACACGGCTTGTCACTCAAGCTGTGTAAATTTGCATTTGCTAATTTTATTAAGAAAATTGTTTCCCCAAGTAATAACTAGTGAACACCTCTTTTGATCGGCTTCAAACTCTAAATGTTACTGTATCTTAATAAGAACTATTTTTTTTTTATTAATTGTTGGTGCCAGTTTCCAATTTTTTTTTTTTTACATTTTATCAAATTAGCTTTTCAAGAAATATCAAAATAAGATTTTTTTTACAGGATTGTTGATGATTTTAAATAGAATGTAAATGTGAAAAGAAAACTGAAAAAAACTGATTTTTAGCAACTTTAACGTTAAAAATATGAGACTTTCGTATTTTAAGAAGATTTTCGTTTGCTTTATCACGAATCTTCATTTGTTACAATGCATTTTTTTTGTGTGTGTGATTGCTGGAGAAAGGCTCCTTTGAACGGCCATTTTGCCATTTTTAACCTCGAAACCCACGTTATTTTCCCCATGATGCTACTAGTGGCTTGGTTGATAGCGTTCTCAGTTCATACACTAAAGGTCCGGGATCAATGCCCAGCAAGAGTGAAACGTTGGACATGTTTTCTTACACCTGATGCTCCTTTTTACCCAGCAGTAAGTATAGGTACCTGGGTCCTAGAAGACTTGTGGGCCGCATCCTGGGAGACAAGATTAGCCTAAGTCACCCGAAATGTTTTGCATAACCAGAGACTTTCAATATGTCAGCAACGTCTGTAAAAGTCGCATCAACTATCTTTAGTGAAATAATTAATGAATGTTACTTCCGATCAGTAATAATTCAGTGTTTGACATTTCTTTGCTATCACAGATTAAATCAAGTTTAATGTTCTATAATGTGGATAAAAGTTTTCCATGTTCATAGGTGATAATGCAACTTCTGAGCGACTTCGAGCTTAATGCGCTTGTGTATTTTAGGATATTGTTATCTTTGAAAGGTCTGAATTAGATTTGGACTGTATATGTTTTAGTTAATTTTAATGAAATATGGATATTAGCTTCCATATGATCACATGAATGTCGCTTTTGAGTCCCTACATATCTTCAACACTAATATTTAACTGCATTATCAACTTCTGCCGCACTCTGCACTATTCCAATCACGTGCATTGAGGCACAAGGAACTAGGAATATAAAATACGGGGATACCTTCCTCGGATCGCGCCGTGATCCAAAATCCTCTAGATAATTTTATTTATTGATTTATGTTTGTATATTTTTTATTTTTTATTTCAGGAATTACAATAGTGTATGTTTTTTTATATTTTTTCAAGTTTTTTATAAAAAAGTTTAAAATAAAAGTTATACTTGATAATGGAAATGTATCGGTTAATTCAGTTTAATAATGGACATGTTGCTCAAATTTCGACCTATAAATTTTTTATTTCGAATTTGCGATAAATAAATAACTTTACAATGAAAAATTTGAATGTTCTTCCTCACTTGGAAAAACTTAAATTTGCAAATAATTTCATAAGTTCGAATATCATCGAATAACTATCATTTATGTGATAAATGGTTTAAAAACCCGATAAGTTGAAGATTGAGACACTTATGCAACATATGGGAATCTTTATTGAGGAAACGTTTCGCCACACAGTGGCTTCATCAGTCCAATACAAAGTAGAAAAGTGTAAGGAGAGGAGGAGTTTGAGGTAATCAGTCCCTCAGCCTGAACTGAATACATCGACGCCAGGCTGAGGGACTGATTACCTCAAACTCCTCCTCTCCTTATATTTTTCTACTCTGTATTGGACTGATGAAGCCACTGTGTGGCGAAACGTTTCCTCAATAAAGATTCCCATATGTTGCACAAGTGTCTCAATCTTCAACCATCATTTAGGATAATGAAACTTACGATGTTTCGCTCCGACTCGGACGATTAACTAGTGACGAACATTGAGTTAATTTTAACGATGCTAAAGTTTCGATGGGATGCAACAAGACAAATCAGAGGAAGATTAAGGAATATGTTATAATTAACGAAGTTCTTAATTTCAGAACTATGAATGAGAACGTTGACCCTTAATAACTGTTTCTTCCTCAGTCTGTCAAATAATTAAGGAAAATTAACCAACAAAGTTACTCTGAGGTTTCCGCTGATTAATTTAACTATATTGGAAATATTCATTTAACTACAGACACAGAGAGGCTAAAAGTTTGATTAATCTTAAAAGCAGCGTTAAGTTCTGGGATGTACATGTTTGGTGTGGCACAGTAGACTGTCTTTATTGCTTGTGTCCTGCGCACCCCCACCCACATCTCATGGGAGGTTCCTTGATGCTGGTGAGGGGTTCTTGATCTAGGGAATTGGATCTGTGCTCCAGTTCCTTGAATTGAGCCTGAATGCCTTCCATCCCCCCTCCACATGCGCTATATAATCCTATGGGTTTAGCGCTCCCCATGATTATAATAATGTCCTGTGCACCTGACATCTCAACTCTAGCAGCCTACTAGTATATCACTGGTGTACACTACTGACAAGATGAACTAGACACACATGCAATATATTGATGTCATTATTCGTAGATGTTACGCCAGTTGATCTGTCATGCAATGAAAGGCTGTGTGGGTGTTAGTTTGCCATTTTTTTGAGGGGGTGGGGGCTAATTTTATCAAATATTTTGTTACAGTATAGTAGATAATTTCAAATAATTGTAAATGAGAAAACTGAAAAAGTAAACTCCGCAATTTTTCGTGTTTTTTAAATTGAATGTGAGAGTCTTTCCCATTTTCTTCAACATTCTCCGCAACACATTCCTTCGCTTTCTCACAAATTTTCGATTATTACTCGAGAATGCCTTATTCGATCGGCTACAAATTCTAAACGCTTGTGTAATGTATAGTGGGAAAAAATCCATGGGACAATTTACATACGTTGTTGCCAAAAGCTACATGGGACACTGGCATTTTTTTTTTATTTTGTGTATGACAGGTCGGCTTCGAAATTTCAACACTCGTGTATCCTACTTAGAAAAAAGATGGTATGCTTAGCGGAGTATGCTGAGTATATTTTGAAATTTTAGTCTCGAAACTGTACAGTATTAATATATGTTAATGTAATTTTACCTTTATGTAAGTGAGGGAGCTTTGATCCAAGGAGCTGGAATTATCCTTCTATAGATCAAATTTAAATGTCTCCTATTTCACATGTCCTGTATGACCCCTAAGGTTCTAGCACTTTCCTCTGATTAAAATGTAACAATTGAGAACCGAATAATGCAATGGTTATAATTATAACCATAATTTTTAAAGTAGTGGACCTGTAAGCCAGTGGAAGGTCTCGGTCAGATGACCAAAAGCTCCATTGGCGGGTCATCATATGACTAAGACCCGCCTCAAGGAACAGCTGTACTGTTTCCTGACAAATCTTACCTATACTAACCTAACTGAGAACGTTAATCCTCAGTGCTTGATGCCTCGTGTGAAATAAATAAGGCAAATTTTGCTAGATTTTGAGCCATAAGTGTAAAATACATCTGATCGGCTTTAATCGGATGTGTTTTCCCGCACTGGAAACAATCTCTTGATGGTAGATTGTGCAAGTTGTAATGTAACATTCTACTAATCAGTGTTCTTTGAAATAACTGAAAACGTCTCTTGTGATCAAAAATACATGTTGAGCTAAATTTAGTTTTCATAGGTTAAATCAAATTAATTGTCTTTAATGTGGCTATAACAATTATGTCATTAAGACCACTGTTTAAAATTTGTTTACTTACACTAAGCTTACATAAAGCTCGATTATTTACCCATTAACTTATTGTATTACATTCTTAAAAGCAGATGAATCTTTGAGAACAGTTTAGGCTGATTGTGGCTTAAGTGGGTTCCAACTGCTTTTTGTTTTGGGGGCGAAGGGTATAAATTTCTGAGTGTCGAATTTTATTAGTTTCAACCCTCTCATTCTCGTAACTTGATAATAAAATTTGTGAGGGGCTTCAAGATCAAAGGGGACTGTAGTTCACGCAGTGACCGAAATACATCTAGCATTAATATTTTCATTATTAGGTATTCCCGAAGAGGGACTATTAAGAGACTGCTTGAATTTCTTGTTTCTCCTCCCACTTCAATTTTCTTTCACTCATACTTCGAGAATTAATGCGACTCGAAGTACTTCGATAACGAGAACCAGATTTTAGGAACAAATAACATGTGTAGGCCTTCTATGACCCAACTTGAGGGAATTCCCAGCATTCTGAGGGAATTCCCAGCATTCTGGAAGTCAGTAGCATCCGAAGTCCTCAACAGCAAAACCTCAGACATTCAAATATGGTGACTCTTAATTTGACGATGGCGGAAAATGAAAATCAAGAGGATAATTACAGATCTGATTATTTTAAAAGAAAAACTGAGCAATTTTGACTCGCGTTTAATCATTATGATCAAAGTATATGCGCCGACATCTTCTGGATGGCTTCAAGATTTAATAACGGATATATCTTTCAACCGGGTAAGCACTAATCCAGTTTAGGTTGTATGGGGACTAATTTGTCGATGCAATTATTTTTTAAAACCCTGGATTTGGTTCGTAATTTTTATTAAAATGGAATTTAACATCAATTCTCTTACAGGATTTTAGCGAATTTTACAATTAATAAAACTGCAAAGAGAAATTAAAAAAAAATGAAAAATCGTGTTTTTATAGTATTTTTATATTTATCGAGTTGAATAAACACACAAAGTGTGATGCCAAAGCCATCCGTTTTTTTTAGCTCCTGTCTCCTCATGTATTTTAAGGTTTTCGTTCATAAATTAAGAGTGCCTTATCAAGTTGGCTTCATTCAGACGAAGGTCAATACTATGAGAAGGATCGAACAACAACTGACCTGTGTTGGGGCTCACTCCATAATTTAAAGATCCTCTTTTGATCGTCTTCACAAATTCAGGTATCGATGATTGACCTATATTGTTATTGGTTATAGATTCACATATATACACGACACATGATGGTGATACAAGTAGTGATGGCGGCGAGGATGGTGGTGTGATGGTGAGTGTGGTGATGGTGGCGAGGATGGTGATTGTGGTCATGAAATACGTAGTAGTGAAGAGCACACATATGTTCAAGTTTGCACATGAATACACATGCACAAGTATGCATCCATATATGTATATTTACATGCTGCATACATACATATACATACATTCAAACACAGTAACACATACTCTGCATACATAAATATCCAACATATATTCACAAATATGTGTGCACGTGAGTGCACACATATTTAACATACATGAATGGAAAATGTGCATTTAAATTTTTGCATACGTGAATATAAACATTCGACTAATATTAGGACAACACACGCAAACTGTGTGTGCGTGTGTACTCAGCTAATTGTGGTTGCAGGGGTCGAGACTCAGCTCCTGGCCCCGCCTTTTCACTGAGTGCTACTAGGTCCTCTCCCTCCCTGTTCCATGAGCTTTTCATGCCTCATCTTAAAGCTATGTATGGTTCCTGCCTCCACTACCTCACTTGCTAGGCTATTCAACTTCCTGAATACTCTATGACTGAAAAAAATACTTCCTAACATCCCTTTGACTCATCTGGGTCTTCAACTTACAATTGTGACCCCTTGTTTGCGTCCCATCTCTGGAACATCCTGTCTCTGTCCACCTTTGTGTGTGTGTGTGCCTGTGGTGCGTGATGTGCTGTGCGTTGCGTGTCGTGTGTTGTGGTGCTGTGTGTGTGTGTGTGTGATGTGTCTGTGTGTGTGTGTGTGTGTGTGTGATGTGTGTGTGTGTGTGTGCGTGTGTGATCGTGCGCGTTGTGGTGCGTGGTAGCCGGCGGCGTGAAATGTTCACTAATTACCGAACTACTCAATACAACTGCCCTAAAATTGCTCTTTTTTTTTTAATTAGTTTATATTGCGTAGAATATTTATTTAACGCAACTTTTCTTAGAAACACGCCTACAAGTGCTACTAATCTCATACATCATTATTCTTTATATTACTAAAATCAGTGATATACAGATCTGTGAACTAATCTAGTCATTCTCGTTCTTTTTCTCCATTACTTCCTTACGTATTCTCAAATTTAATGTAGCACTTTTCCTATTACCTTGCTTGTTTTTTTCCGTAGTTTGTGAATCAGTCTTACGTAGAACAGTATAAAATACTTAAGGGTTGGGTAAATGTAGTTCACTCACCCTCTCTGCATTAATTTCTGAAACTAAGTTAAGCCAAGTCCATTTTTTTTTCATAAACAGCATTCTTTCTGAATAATAAGAGCAGAGACAACACTCACGTGGTTAAAGAAGAACTTGACTTGGGTGTCCGTCCTGAGCGCCCATCGGAGGTTCCTGACGGTGCGTGAGTTGACCAGGTGAATGAGGTAGTCCTGCATAACGTAGTAGCCAGAGGGAAGGTGCACCTCCACCACAGCAACACCACTGGTCGCTGCCTCCTCCGTGTACGTCCATCTGCATGTATATTCAAAGGCATTACTCTCCTCTAAGTGCCTCTCTTAAAAATCAATAGTAAAAGATTCTCTACTTGGACTCGTTCTCCAGCTGTAAAAAAAAATCATAAGATTCAAGGATTTTTTATCTATATATTCCGAGCATTATTTTTTTAAATCATCACCTGATAAAAACATGATAACGCCAAACGAAAGGCCTTTTTACAACATATATAATTATCGTCAAAAATCTTTCGATGACGCTCCTCTTTCATACCTCTGGCAGGTGGTGATCTCTAGGTAGGAATTATTCCTTCCTGAGAACTTGGAAACAATGGTGAAGTCGAAGGCATTTACGGGTGGGTAGTCAAGCAAGGGTTCGTAATCCACACCATAGCTATATTCAAGTTGAACAAGGGCCTGTCCAGAGCCATGCCCTACGATATTAATGTGTCCCCAGATGTTCTGCAGCTGTAAGAATAAACACACACATTCTGCATATTAGTTTAAAAAATCCTCAGTTGCACAACAAAACTTTAGTCTCCGTGGCACCTAAAACAAGTGATGCATTTTCTTCTACATGTATTTTGATCAAACCATACCACGGGCGGGATTGAACCCGCGGTCAAAGAGTCTCAAAACTCCAGACCATCGCGTTAGCCACTGGACCAGCTAGCCACAATAAGACTCGTCCAACTAGGTATATTTCTACACCATAGGAAGCTTAGCACAAGCACCACTGTGACCACAAATGCAAGTTTTACAGACGAATCTCCAGCTAGCGTGGCCGTGACGAACTCTAGCTCAAGTCCCCTCAATGCCGTCAATATGACTCACGAAATCGTAATGACACGATTGCAAACAATCAATCCCGCCCGTGGTATGGTTTGTTTGCAATCGTGTCATTACGATTTCGTGAGTCAAGTTGTTTTGATCAATGTACGATACAAGAAGTGTCCCAGCACTGCAAAACCCCAAACCTCTGTGTCTCAGTACAATTATGCATAAAACTGGAAATTAAAATTTACGCAACGCAACGTGAAAATCAAGATTTCTTATAATAATACCAACCGTCACTGCAAGTGGTAGTTGGTATTATTATTATAAGACAATCAATTCTCCAGTATTTGTTCTGAATCCAAAACAATAAGTTTTTAAGAAAGTTTAACTTCAAATTTGGACTTAGGCAGACTAAACTTACTAGGTATTATGCTTCTAACAGTAAAAATCAGCGTTTATATTTTAAGTCGATTAGAAGGAATATTGTTTAGTTATTGCACTGATGTCCTCTTTTATTTTCTCTTTTATTAGGTCTTTATTTCCTCTTTGCAACCTAATAAAAAGGTGATCCGTTCGTTCAACAAAATACCAGGGCTAAAAGTTTGAAGGCGACCGGAAGAGGCATTCTCCAGTTGTCGGACAGATTTCATCGATTTCATTTTTAATTACGTCGGTGTACTGGCAAATCTGCACCTTCAAAAAATAAACTTATTGAGAAACTTCCAGTCCATAAAAATATCAGCCGTTTTAAGATTAAACCTGTTTAAAATGGTAGATAAAAGTCGCTAGGAAACAGGACAAGTGTTTTCTGACGCGGGTCTTGAAGTTATATTATGACCAGCAGCTGGAGGTTTTGGTCATCTGACAGAGGTCTTGTGCTGGCTTTCCGCTCTCGTGGAATTAAGGTACAACTTTTTGTGAAGTTTTAACCCTTAGCAGAAGAGGCTTTAGAAATTTATTAGACTCATTCCAGGTAACTTGTAACGGAGGCTGTAACAGTCACCATCCCTTAACATCCTGGATATTCCTTAACATCCTGGATATTCCTTAACATCCTGGATATTCCTTAACATCCTGGATATTCCTTAACATCCTGGATATTCCTTAACATCCTGGATATTCCTTAACATCCTGGATATTCCTTAACATCCTGGATATTCCTTAACATCCTGGACATTCCTTAACATCCTGGATATTCCTTAACATCCTGGATATTCCTTAACATCCTGGATATTCCTTAACATCCTGGATATTCCTTAACATCCTGGATATTCCTTAACATCCTGGATATTCCTTAACATCCTGGATATTCCTTAACATCCTGGATATTCCTTAACATCCTGGATATTCCTTAACATCCTGGATATTCCTTAACATCCTGGATATTCCTTAACATCCTGGATATTCCTTAACATCCGATATTCTACCCTGGATATTCCTTAACATCCTGGATATTCCTTAACATCCTCAATATACCTTAGCATCCTCAATATACCTTAGCATCCTCAATATACCTTAGCATCCTCAATATACCTTAGCATCCTCAATATACCTTAGCATCCTCAATATACCTTAGCATCCTCAATATACCTTAGCATCCTCAATATACCTTAGCATCCTCAATATACCTTAACATAGTGAATATTTCTTAACATGAATATTCCTGAACTTCCCGAATCTTCCTTAATATGCTGAATATACCTTAACATCCTGAATTTATTATTATTAATACAACGGCCTGTTTCCCATCAAGACAGGGGGCCCAAAAAAGAAAAACTTTCACCATCATTCACTCCATCACTGTCTTACCAGAGGCGCGCTTACACTACAGTTATAAAACTGCAACATAAATACCCCTGCTTCAGAGTGCAGACATTGTACTCCCCATCTCCAGGACTCCAGTCCGGCCTGCCGGTTTCCCTGAATCCCTTCATAAATGGTGCCTTGCTTACACTCCAACAGCACATCAAATCCTAAACACCGCTTGTCTCCATTCGCTCCTGTCTAACACCCTCATGCACGCTAGTTGGAAGTCCAAGCTCCTCGCACACAAAACCTCCTTTACCCCCTCCCTCCAACCTTTCCAAAGCTGACCCCTACCCCGCCTTCCCTCCAATACAGAACTGTATACTCTCGAAGTCATTCTATTTAGTTCCTTCCTCTCTACATGTCCAAACCATCTCAATAATCCCTCCCCAGCCCTCTGAATGATACTTTTGGTAATCCCACCCCTCCTAATCTCCAAACTACGGATTCTCTGCATTATATTTATACTACACATTGCCTTCAGACATGACATCTCCACTGTCTCCAGCCTTCTCCTTGTTGCAACATTCACAACCCATGCCTCACATCCATACAAGAGCGTTGGTATAACTATACTCACATGCATCCCCCCCTCTTAGCTTTCATGGATAGTTCGTCTCCACAGACTCCTCAATGCACTTCTCACCTTTTTCCCCTCGTTAGTTCTATGATTCACCTCATCTTTCATAAGCCCATCTGCTGACACGTTCACTCCCAGATATGTGACCATATTCACCTCCTCCATACTCTCTCCCCCCAATCTGATATCCAATCTTCCATTACCTAATTTTTTTTGTTATCATCACCTTACTCTTTCCTATATTCACTTTAAACTTCCTTCTTTTACATACCCTACCAAACTCATCAATCAGCCTCTAACTTCTCATCAGAATCTCCCAAAAGCAGTGTCATCAGCAAAGAGCAACTGTGACAACTCCCACTTTGTGTTAGATTTTTTAACTTTTAACCCCACACCTTTTGCCAACACCCGAACATTCACTTCACTTACTACTCCATCTATAAATATACTGAACAACCATGGTGACAACAAACATCCCTGTCCATGGCCAACTTTTACTGAGAAATAATCCCCCTCTCTCCTACATACTCTAACTTGAGCCTCACTATCCTCGTAAAAACTTTTCACTGCTTTCAATAACCTACCTCCTATTCCATACATTTGCAACATCTGCCACACTGCCCCCCTATCCACACCATCATATGCCATCTCCAAATCCATAAATGCCACAAAAACCTCTTTACCCTTATCTAACCGACCTCCGCATGAATCAGATACATGATCTGTCAAGTAAGGCAACAGCGGCACTTCTCCGCTCCATGGAATATTACCCCATTCCAAACTACCATTCCTCCATTTCCCCCCAAACTACTTAAATCACAACCAAAACTTCGCCTTGAAGCCAAACATGATGCCTTAAGCTGTATTGATAACTTAGTCACACAGCACACACTCTCGCAAATTATTTACGTTGATGGTTCTGTTCACCAATCCACTGGTGCAGCTGGTAGTGCTGCTGTTGTCGTACAGAGTGATGGCTCTCTTAAAGAAATTGGAGCACGCATCAATAATTGGGCCTCTACCCTTCAGACAGAACTGTTTGCCATACTCCTTGCAACGCATCTATGTATCAAAGATTGACAGTTTAATTTGTAACTGATTCTCTGTCATCCATAAATGCTCTCAACTCATTAAGCATAAATTGTGGCATGCTTGTGTCAGAAGCCAGACACAGGTATGGTAGGATTGTGGACAGTGGAGTCAGAGTGCACATGCTGTGGATTCCATCTCATATTGGTCTTCAGATGCATGATAGAACTGATAAATTGGCTAAGCTGTATGCTTTCAAAGAGGGAGTAGATTACAATCTTGGCTTGTCAGGTAGTAGTTTGAGAACAATAATACGAAAAGAACTTCAGCTGAATTTTATGGACTTAAGGCTCAGGGAGATTGACACCAGCGAGTCCATCTATCATCATTCTATCATGCAGGAGGAGCCACATGTCTATGGTGCATCCAACAAAATAAGCAGACTATTGGATGTCACTACCGCCCGGCTCCGGCTGGGTTACAAGTATCTTTGGCAGGTTAAATCACCACCACCAGATGTAGACCAAATGAAATGTAAACTTTGCCAGATGGATTATTGTCACACCCTGCGTCATTATGTACTGGAGTGTGATAAAATTAATGAATTTAGAAACAACTCGCTCAGAAGTGTTCAAGAAATGGCTAAGTATCCACAGTGGTATATTACAGACCATTCTGGAGAAATACCCTGACTTTGCTAGCTGTAAATAAAGCATTACCACATATGTGCATGTGTGTGTGTGTGTGTACACTCACCTAGTTGAGGTTGCGGGGGTCGAGTCCGAGCTCCTGTGTGTGTGTGTGTATGAGTGTGTGTATGAGTGTGTGTGTGTATGAGTGTGTATGAGTGTGTATGAGTGTGTGTGTGTGTGTATGTGTGTGTGTATGAATTTGTGTGTGTGTGTGTGTGTGTGTGAGAGAGACTCGGCAATCAACATTTGCACCAATAACTCACTACAGTTGTGACCGGGTGTGGAAGTGTGAATTGCTCATTACTCTAAAATTTGTTCATGATTGTAGCCATGTATACACGCAAGTAACCATTCTTACAGTATTCATTACCTTTGTAACTTGTGAGTTCATTACCTTGTACCTAGTTCAGCCATCAAAACTTTGGAGCCCGGTCCCTGGACCCATTGTGTACCTCTGTAATCTGTAAATACCTTTGTAACTTGTCATGATTGTGACTAGACCTACCTGGAGTTCATTACCTTTGTAAATTGTGAATTCATTACCTCTGTAACTTGCTCAGCTATCAAAACTTTGAGGCCCAGTCCCTGGACCCATTATGTACCTCTGTAATCTTTTGACTACCGCCCACTGGATGGGTATGGGGTGCATAATAAACATATTAAACTAACTCTAAAGACTGTTCACCTATGTGTTTCACTGCAAACACTTGGTCTACACACCCCCTACGTTTCCTAAAGCCTCCTTGTATATCTGCTATCCTACTCTCCGTCTTAATCATAATTCTGTCAATAACTGTATCATACACTTTACCAGGTATACTTCACAGACTTATCCCCCTATAATTTTTGCATTCTCTTTTGTCCCCTTTGCCTTTATACAGAGGAACTATAGATGCTCTCTGCCAATCCTTAAGTACCTTATCCTCTTCCATACATTTATTAAATAAAACATTAACCACTCCATTTCTACCTTCATCCCATCAATCCTGAATATTCTGAATATTCCTTGTCCCAAAATATCCTGAATACTCCCTATCACACAATCATGAATATTCCATAATATCCGGAATATTCTTAAATATTTCTTGCAGAAAATATCCTGAACATTCCTTATCAACATTGCTCCCATAGAAAATTGTCCAAGTTGGTTGGCATATTCCTGAGTATTTGTATTCTTTCATAATATTTTATATATTCCCAGAAAGCTTTGGTTAACTGAGTATCCCTTTTCTATCTTAAAGTGTTTTGAATTCTTCGAGTCTGTCCTCGTAAAGAATATAAGTAGCACTAAGGGTATATTCTCGAAATTACAATGGATCAAGGGAAGATGCTCAAATATACTAGGAATTCTCCCTGCTGAGTGATAAAAACGGACGAGACGTGCCCTCCGAAGGGAGAAACGTGTAGGACACGTTAAGAGACGCTGGGGTGACGCCACCATACTGACTAAATACTCTCGAGGCCCTATTGCATAAGGAGCAATCCGCGATTTTCAATAACACTTTTGTTTAATGTAATGTACAAGTGACTTTGCTAAACAGTAGTGGAGCTTGTACAACCTATGACTTGGGTTGTAAAGGATGTGACCTTCAGGCTTTAAGAGAGACGATTCAAATGTTATTTTCAGTGAGGGAACTGTTGGTTACAGCGACATGAGCCACTGACCAGCTCGGCAACAGATTGCAAGACCTAACATGGTTAAAGGTTGCATTTAACTCCTGTGCCATCCACATCGAATACTAATCCTGGGTTAATCTAGGTTCCAGCAGTTACCCATCAGCCCCACATATGAGCGAGGGTATAGTGGGCAACGATCCTTGTAAACACCGTTGGACGGTGCTTGATCAACCTGTGTTTAGCTGCACTCATTAAAGTTCATAACTGAGTATGCAGTAGATAAACTGAAGCCAATTGCACAAGACGTTCTCAGGTTTAAAGGAAAACCTCAGATGGTATTAGCAAACTGTAGCTAACAGATGGACGGCTCTGGCATCATGCTGTGCAAAATATTTGTGTTCACTCAGCTCAAGAAGTTTATAAACCTTATAAAAACATGTAAATTAAATATTTTTCCCTTTTTTGCAGTTGCATTATTTTTAAAATTCTCGACGATCTTACAATAAAAACAAATTTTAAGATAGTCCAATTTATTAAAAATCATACGACTGCCAATTTAAAAGCAAATATTGTATCGAAAAATCTGCGCACCCACAAACAATACTGAATGGGAATTATCCTGGCCATAAGATACATTAGCCTTTTAATATTAAAGACATACAGAAGATGAAGCTGCAAATATTTTGACAGTAAAGATTAAACAGAAATCCAAATTGTACACAATTTTACACACAAAATGGTCAAATAAGCACCAGACCCTTTTATTTAACTCTCCGTTTTCGTTGAATTAGGAGGCACCTTTTTAAATGTTTAAACCAACCCCACAGAGAGTTTTGGAAGTTGTGTGTTATTCCAGAATGCTGCCAATGCCAGATGTTCCTAGACTCGGGTCCTCTTTGTCGTATACAAGAATTCAAAATTTAAATCCGATCAGATGAGGATTTCTCAATTTATGAGCGAAATAAAATCGAAAATTAGAAAGAAGGCAAAAATCAGGCAACCACTTAAAGGTTCTCCGTCGAGGATACCAGATAAAACATATATTTACGTTACACAAACACACACAAGCACCACATGTATACTTCTTCCGTAACTACAAACATTCATGAACAAGCAATTATGCAATATTATATACTCCTGGAACTACACACTCCACATGAGTCAGCTCTGAGTATATACAAATACATTCAACATAAAATCCACTGATTATCACTTTGAAGTGACCATTAGGGATCACATAGCTTCTGGGACATAGGAAGTAATCAGGTTTGATTCGAGGAAGAGGAGAGTAGCTCAGATTTTTGGATCGTCTAGTAACAAAAAATAAAGTGATACACATTCTTGATAACGACTCACATCGTAGGACCTCATGGTTGCGAGGTCGAGGGAATTGTCGAGGTAGACATCGACTGTGTAGTTGTTAGCTGGGTGTTCCAGAGTGACCCTCATGTCCGTCACATCACGTAGTCGCGCACGGTATGAGTACTCCACCAGCGCCTCCAGCGCCGCTATGCTGTCCTGTAGAGAAGGGAGATGGAGTGAGAGGATGGGTAGGAATGGAGGAACATGGAGTGATAAACAGGGAAGGAGGAAGCTTGGCACTTTAAAGAAGATACCATCCCTTCACTGATTTGTTTGCAACTGTGCCATTACGATTCTGTGAATTGGTTAAACTAGACAGTATCACAGCCACAGGACTTATGCATGTGCTTGTTATAGATTTATAGTGATTAGGTTGGTATAATGTGTGTGTATGACGTTGAGTGTAATGTTAGTGAAAGGAAATGGAATGGTGCTTACCAGTGAGGGAATAATCTCACGGGTATGTTGTGATGGAAGTGTATGAGGCTGCTGTAGTTACTTCGAACATATTTAATAGTGGCTAGTAAAAATTTCCATGAACAGAACCTGACTAAATTATAGATGGCGTCATTTAATGTCTGTAAGTGTGAGAGAACGTGAGAGAGAGATGAATATTCCTGGAAATTATTTTCCTTGAGTTCGTTTTTCATGAGTAAATTTTGAAAAGTGACACTAAATATCTTGAGACGACTCGGAATGAGACGACCCGGATAACTTTCCTCTGCTCATACAGTCACTCAGTATACCAACATATAGAGATATGAAATCACTATTAGGTTTCTATTATTTCTATGTCTTTATTTCATTAACAGTGACTTTCACTATTTATTACTTCCTTTCCTTCATGTCTGCAAATTAAAGGATCCTTTTAAAACAATGTTTGGTCCAAGGATGAAATTTATCAAGTACACTGGAATGAACAAACGCATCACCTAAGAAGATAAACGAACATTATGGGATCGGAGAAAGATAGGTCACTCATTAGGTCACTGCGAGATCAATCACACTTGAGGTCATTAAATCTCGAGATCAAGTCTAGTGAAGTGAGGCATTGGTGGGACATTATAAACTCGTCACATTACTACCACTCTCTGTTTCCACCAGTACCTCACCAAACTTGATCTCTCAATTTAATGATCTCATGTGTGACCTGCTCTCGCAATTTAATTATCTTATGTGAGTGATCTGACTTCCTACGAACCTAACCTTATGGTGCTTATTTGCCTTTTACGACGATTTTTTGCTCAATCCAATGTACCTAAGTACATTGGATTGAGCAGTGGTTAGACACATTAGACACATGGGCAACATTTTGGTATCTTTACTTGTATACTTTGGAATGCAAAAGAGTATGTTACAAATTAATCGGCCTATGTCTCACACCCATATAGGCTGCCTCCCAACCAGCGAACCAGGTGCTAAGGGTTTAGGATCAATAGGGTACCCGTCGTTAAATCAGATCTTTGGTTCATTGGCCAATCACAGGCAAGAACACCAAAGCTATAGCAACGTGGTTCACTTGTGGTAAGTGAATTGACACTTACCTAGCTACTGGTTGAGCAAGGTGCATGCACTCACGCGAACACGTGCACACGCACGCAAACATACACACTCTGCTTTGCCATTTGCCATCGTGGTGTACACTTACTATTACATCTGTACATATTATACTTTTATATATCTGGTAAAAACAAATATACATTATATTCTACTGTTGAGTTTTGTTTGCTCCACATTCCCATTACGACCTGGTCTCCCAGTCTTTACCTATGTTCGTAATACTGACGTTTCGGTATTTAGTGGCCTTATCAATACAGTACATGGACATAATCAATTTTATTTAACACCCCGGTCGTCTCCCTGAAAAAAAAACATTCACCATCACTCATAAAATCACTGTCTTGACAGAGGCTCGCAGATACGACAGTTTAGATGTCTCTCTAAACAGCAAATATCCCAAACCCATACTTCAGAGTACAGGCGTTGTACTTCCCACCTCCAGGACTCGTGTCCGGCTAATCGGTTTCCCCGAAACCCTTCAAGCAATATTAGTAGAAGATGAGGTAATCAGTCCCTCAGTCTAGGAGCAGGTGGTGAGCATCTTAGTTTTGAATTCAGTCTTCAAGACTACAGTGCTCATCACCTGTTCCTAGGCTGAGGGACAGATTACCTCATCTTTCACTATTTGCTGTATATATTTCTATTATGTCCAAGTGTTGTACTGATAAAGCCACTGGATGTCGAAAGTCTAAAAGTAAAGATACCCAAATGTTGCACACGTGTGTAATTAAGTCTTGTCGGTAATGAAAGCCACTGATAAACTGCTTGATACAGCCCAGCATGGGCGACACATTGTATTAGGATCGCCTGTGGTCAGTGACTTCATTCCCACTTGGCGGCTTTTTCCAGTCTTCCTACTAATCTAAGCGCCAATATCAAGCATGACTAAACTTAGGACTACCTCCCTCCTCGCCTTGTGGTGTATATATACAGATAAAACACGCTTTCTCACCAGGGTAGAGATATGTCCTCCGTCATTCTCCCTCATGACGGCGAGGAACCTGACGATGTTTTCCTGGATGAAGCCGATGCCCTCCCTGGCAAGATACACCAGTAAGGCATAGGAGGTGGTTTCCACTGCGTGAGCGTCCCACTTCTGGTCATTCTTGGGCTGGAGGAAAGGCTTCTGACTGTCCTCATACACCTTAGGGTTGAAGCTCAGCGGCTCGCGTGACCAGTAAATCTTGCTGTCTAGTTGAGAATTACTGGGGTTATTACTCTGGAGATGAGTAACTTGTAGTATCGAGAAACTGATATAAATTCTCAGTATCTCTTGCAACTTCTACATTCAGAGATAAAGGGCATCACACAAGAAGATGAAGGCAGTCAATAAAGTAACATATTTTACGTGATCGCAAGCTTGCGTCAGGTACTGTGAGGGGTCACCCGTCGCCTCAATTTCAGTGTCTCACCACTTTTAGTAAGGAAAACCGAATATGATATAGACAAGTTTAAGCTTTAAAGAAGTAAATGCTAGGGTGTTCGGAAGAGGGGTAGGATTAAATTATGGGGAATCAAATAGAAAATGGGATTTGACACAGTTGCTTTTCGCTGATGATACTGTGCTTATGGGAGATTCTAAAGGAAAGTTGCAAAGGTTAATGGACGAGTTTGGGAGTGTGTGCAAAGGTAGAAAGTTGAAAGTGAACATAGAAAAGAGTAAGGTGATGAGGGTATCAAATGATTTAGATAAAGAAAAATTGGATATCAAATTGGGGAGGTGGAGTATGGAAGAAGTGAATGTTTTCAGATATCTGGGAGTTGACATGTCAGCGGATGGATTTATGAAGGATGAGGTTAATCATAGAATTGATGAAGGAGTGGGAGGGGTTGGATTTGAGTGGGACTTGCACATCAGAGCTTATTTCTTGGGTAGCATTGAAAATTGGGTTGGTCAAATGTTTGTTAGTGGGATGAATTGTAAAGGACCTGCCTAGTATGGGCCAACAGGCCTGCTGCAGTGTTCCTCCTTTCTTATGTTCTTATGTGCGTTGAGGTATATGTGGAGACAAAAAAACGTTATCTATGTAGGCAAAGAAGGGAATGTATGAAAGTATAGTAGTACCAACACTCGTATATGGGTGTGAAGCTTGGGTTGTGAATGCTGCAGCGAGGAGGCGGTTGGAGGCAGTGGAAATGTCCTGTCTAAGGGCAATGTGTGGTGTAAATATTATGCAGAAAATTCGGAGTGTGGAAATTAGGAGAAGGTGTGGAGTTAATAAAAGTATTAGTCAGAGGGCTGAAGAGGGGTTGTTGAGGTGGTTTGGTCATTTAGAGAGAATGGATCAAAGTAGAATGACATGGAGGGCGTATAAATCTGTACGGGAAGGAAAGCCGGGTAGGGGTCATCCTCGAAAAGGTTGGAGGGGGAGGGGTAAAGGTTTTGTGGGCGAGGGGCTTGGACTTCCAGCAAGCGTGCATGAGCGTGTTAGATAGGAGTGAATGGAGACGAATGATAATTGGGACCTGACGATCTGTTGGAGTGTGAGCAGGGTAATATTTAGTGAAGGGATTCAGGGAAACCGGTTATTTTCATATAGTCGGACTTGAGTCCTGGAAATGGGAAGTACAATGCCTGCACTTTAAAGGAGGGGTTTGGGATATTGGCAGTTTGGAGGGATATGTTGTGTATCTTTATACGTATATGCTTCTAAACTGTTGTATTCTGAGCACCTCTGCAAAAGCAGTGATAATGTGTGAGTGTGGTGAAAGTGTTGAATGATGATGAAAGTATTTTCTTTTTGGGGATTTTCTTTCTTTTTTTGGGTCACCCTGCCTCGGTGGGAGACGACCAACTTGTTGAAAAAAAAAAAAAAAATATATATATAATGGGCAAGATTTTTTTTTTAGGTACCTGAAGTACTGAAATAAATTACTGGGTGACTCTTGGAAAAGGTTAGTGAGAATGATTTTGAGAAGAACCTGCTTAGTATGGGCCAGCAGGCCTCTGCTCCTTCAGTATTCATGCTTATTCTTCTCTGCGTTTGACAGAAGCTTACCGTGTAGGCACATATCTTACCCATCTCGCCAGCATAAAAAAATCTTTATTCCTAATTTAAGTTAATAAACTATAAAGTTTACCGTATGTTTTGTGAGTTTTAAGTAAAAGGAGTTAAAATAACTATTAAAAGTAGTCCAAAAATTTAAAATAACCACTCGAGAAATGTCCAGTAACCAATGTGAGAAATTTAGTGCAGTTAGTGGTGGAGGTGATCCACTGTTGGCTATTTGTAGCCCGGACTCTAAACAGTCAGGGTGTAAGCGATTGTATCCAACACACTGACTAGGCCAGAGACGATTGGAAAGTTCTGCGCCAGCCTTCGTCGGGTGTGGACGTCTCTCTCTCGCCTGAGTATCGGTGATAAATTTCTCCTGTTCTATACACAAATAACCCGCTCATAGAAGAGAGGAGCTTACGACGTTTCGGTCCGACTTGGACCATTTACAAAGTCGGTCCGAAACGTCGTCGTAAGTTCCTCTCTTCTATGTGCAGGTTATTTGTGTATCGTTCCAGTCACGGTATTGTGCCTTTTTTTGTTATTTATGGTCCCCTGTTCTCTCTGGGACGCTTGTCCTCATCCCTTTTGCCCGCCGGGTACTCTACAGGAGGGGCACCTGTTAATAGGCTTATTTTTAGCCAGCTCCATTTTATCCGCTCTGCGGAAACTTCTTTATCGGTCTCTCGTGCGAAGTCGGTTACTGAACTCGGGTGGGGGTGTGGGCGTCCCTCTCTGCTGGGGCTTGGCGAGGGGGTCCCCCGGATCTAATTGGAAACTTAGTTTCTATCTTTATTTATATGTTCCTTTTCTTTCATCGTCCAGCCTTGGGCAACAATTCTTCCCCGAACATCGGGAAGCCGGGCTCGATACGGCCCTGATAAACCCTATAAAGAAGAAAGAAGATTGGAAAAATCTCAATTATATATCGACTCGAGAAATACAAAGGAAAGTGTTGCTGTGAAAAAAGAACAGGAATCCATATATAGAATATCATTTGCATAGTGTATTCGGTAAATAATCAGAAGAATGGGCGAGGACTCGAACAATGATCCTTTAATGCAGCGGGCTCAATATTGTTACCAAACAGCTACCGAGGTTACAATAGGATGATCTCTTAAAAACAGGTTTTTCGTGACATGTTTGTCTCAGTGACACCAACTATGACCGTGCTGTCTCACCTCATATTAAGTAAAATTGATTGTCTGTTTAAGAAATACTTCATATAGCTGCAGTTAAAAAATTTTTTTTTAATAAGTTCCAGTTTCTAGTTGGAACTTTTCCAAGGAAATCTCGATGATACTAAGGAATTTAATGTTTGAATGACATGGGAGTGATTATACATGCATATGATGAATGATAAAATATGCCAAATTGTTACACCATTATAAGACTCAATGAGCTTTGCTTGTATTGATATTTTTCACAAGTGTACGTTGATGCACTGGTGACTTACTATCCACCCGCTTCATGGAGTCTAGTAAGTTGAAGGCAGTTTCCTTCTTGGTAGAATCAGCCTTGGAGAGCGCCCAGGCCACCAGTGCTACGTCGTAGGGGTCGTCCAAGCTCTCTAGCTCCCTCTCTAGGTACCTGCGTACAAACAACTCTAGTAGATGCTCTGAGTTAAAACATTACAATAAAATAGAAACACTGTACAATTAATAGAAAAAATTATACCACCATATTTGGAGTTTGTATTATCAGTTTCCTTGTTGTGGATGTTTTATTTGTTTAAGCGTTTAATACTGAATGTCTGGAAGATTAATATTCAGTATTTAAGCAGATTTAATGCTAAGTAGATTAATATTTAAAATATATTTATATTTAAAATACCCCTCATGGAAGGTTCCTTGATGTTGGTGAGGGGCTCTTGATTTAGGGAATTGAATCTGTGCTCCAGTTCCCCGAATTAAGCCTGAATGCCTTCCACATCCCCCCCTGGGCGCTGTATAATCCTACGGGTTTAGCGCTTCCCCCTTGATTATAATAATAATAATAATATATTTAAAATAGCACATAACACAAAGCGACCAGTGGTACCAGTAGTCATGTTTTCTTTAGTGTTTTAAAAACCATTTGATTACGTGAATCAGTGAACTACTCTACTGTTCTGAGGCTGGCATTAACGAGTGGAAAATTAAATTAGCCCTATGGTTCCTTATCTCCGAATTTATCTGGCACTCGGGAAAATATGATTAGTCGTAACACTGGTCGGTTATAAATTATGTGGTATGGTGGTGTGATATTAAGGTAACATGTGTCTCGTCTGCTACTCGAGTGACGGGCCTAATTCGTGGGTTCCAGTCTTGGCTGGTCGCAGTGTGTTCCTAGCTGTTACAACTACTTGTTTTAGTGATTGTATTGATGTATGTATGTAAGTAGCCGGACTCGAGTCCTAGAGGTGGGAAGTACAAAGCATGCACTATAAAGTTTGGGATATCTGCTGTCTGGAGTGACATCTGAACTGTCAGATCTGCGCACCTCTGCAAAGACAGTGATTGTGTGAATGATGGTGAAAGTGATTTTTCTTTTTGGATCACCCTGCCTCGGTGGGAGACGGTGAACGTCTTGAATATATATATATATATATATATATAATATATATATATATATATATATATAATATATATATTATATATATATATTTTTTTTTTTTTTTTTTTTTTTTTTTTTTTTTTTTTTTTTTTTTTTTTTTTTTTTTTTTTTTTTCAACAAACCGGCCGTATCCCACCAAGGCAGGGTGGCCCAAAAAGAAAAACGAAAGTTTCTCTTTTTAAATTTAGTAATTTATACGGGAGAAGGGGTTACTAGCCCCTTGCTCCTGGCATTTTAGTCGCCTCTTACAACACGCATGGCTTACGGAGGAAGAATTCTGTTCCACTTCCCCATGGAGATAAGAGGAAATAAACAACAACAAGAACTAGAAAGAAAATAGAAGAAAACCCAGAGGATGTGTATATATACATATATATGCTTGTACATGCATGTGTAGTGTGACCTAAGTGTAAGTAGAAGTAGCAAGACGTACCTGAAATCTTGCATGTTTATGAGACAGAAAAAAAGGACACCAGCAATCCTACCATCATGTAAAACAATTACAGGCTTTCGTTTTACACTCACTTGGCAGGACGGTAGTACCTCCCTGGGCGGTTGCTGTCTACCAACCTACTACCTATATATATATATATATATATATATATATATATATATATATATAAAATGAGTGTGTGTATGTGTCTGAATGTGCGTGCACGTTGTGCGAATGACAAGAGAGATGATTGTGGATGCTATAAATGAGAAGAAGCTGGATGTCCTGGCTTTAAGTGAAACAAAGATGAAGGGGGTGAGAGAGCTTCGGTGGAGAGGAATAAATGGGATTAGGTCAGGGGTTTCAAATAGAGTTAGAACTAAAGGAGGAGTAGCAATAATGTTGAAGGATAAGTTATGGCAGGAAAAAGAGGGAGTATAAATGTATTCAAAGATTATGTGGAGTAAAATTAAGGTTGGATGTGAAAAGTGAGTTATAGTAAGCGTATATGCACCTTGAGAAGAGAGAAGTGTAGAGGAGAGAGAGAAATTTTGGGAATTGTTGAGCGAGTGTGTGGGGAGTCTTGAAGCAAGTGTGAGAGTACTTGTGGTTGGGGATTTCAATGCTTAAGTGGGTAAAAATGTTGTGGAGGAATTAGTAGGTAAATTTGGGGTGCCAGAGGTAAATGAAAATGGGGAGCCTTTAATTGAGCTATGTGTAGAAAGAGGTTTGGTAATAAGTAATACATATTTTATGAAAAAGAGGATAAATAAATATACAAGGTTTGATATAGCACGTAATGAAAGTAGTTTGTTAGATTACATATTGGTGGATAAAAGGTTCATGGGTAGGCTCCAGGATGTACATGCTTATAGAGGGGCAACTGATATATCGGATCATTATTTAGTTGTAGCTACAATTAGAGTAAGAGGTAGATGAGACAAAAGGAAAATGGCAATAACAAGAAAGAGATGAAAGTGTATAAACTAAGGGAGGACGAAGTTCGGGTGAGATATAAGCAACTATTGGCAGAAAAGTGGGTTAGTGCAAGTATGAGTAGTGGGGGGGGGGTTGAAGAGGGTTGGAATAGCTTTAAAAATGCAGTATTAGAATGTGGGGCAGAAGTTTGTGGTTATAGGAGGGTGGGGGGTGCAGGAGGAAAGAGGAGTGATTGGTGGAATGATGAAGTAAAGGGTGTGATAAAAGAGAAAAAGTTAGCTTATGAGAGGTTTTTACAAAGCAGAAGTGTTATAAGAAGAGCAGAGTATATGGAGAGTAAAAGGAAGGTGAAGAGCGTGGTGAGAAAGTGTAAAAGGAGAGCAGATGATAGAATGGGAGAGGCACTGTCAACAAATTTTTATGAAAATGAGAAAAAGATATGGAGTAAGATAAACAAGTTAAGAAAGCCTAGGAAACAAATGGATTTGTCAGTTACAGAGTGGGGGAGTTAGTAGATGGAGAGATAGAGGTATTTGGTAGATGGCAGGGATAATTTGAGGAACTTCTAAATGTCGACGAAGAAAGGGAGGCGGTAATTTCATGCACTGGCAAGGGAGGTATACAATCTTTTAGGAGTGAAGAAGAACAGGATGTGAGTGTGGGGGAGGTGCGTGATGCATTACGCAAAATGAAAGGGGGTAAAGCAGCTGGAACTGATGGGATCATGACAAAAATGTTAAAAGCAGGGGTTGGGGGATATAGCGTTGGAGTGATTGATATTTTTGTTTAATAAATGTATGAAAGAGGGGAAGGTACCTAGGGATTGGCAGAGAGCATGTATAATTCCTTTTACATAAAGGGAACGGGGGCAAAAGAGATTGTAAAAATTATAGAGGAATAAGTTTACTGAGTATACTAGGAAAAGTGTATAGTAAAATATTACTGAAATAATTAGAGGCAAGACAGAATGTAGGATTGCGTATGAGCATATGCGTATAATTGGGTAGGGGATGTGTAGATAGTGTTTACATTGAAGTATATATACGAACAGTATTTAAAGGAAGGGAAGTTTTCAGTGCATTTATGGATTTAGCAAAAGCATATGATAGTGGATAGGGGAGCAATGTGGCAGATGTTGCAAATAGTATATAGAATAGGTAGTAAGTTTCTAAATACTGTAAAGAATTTTTATGAGGACAGCGAGGTTCAGGTTAGGGTGTGTAGAAGAGAGGGAGACTACTACCCGGTAAAGGTGGGTCTTCAACAGGGATGTGTAATGTCACCATGGTTAATATATTTATAGATGGGGTTGTAAAAGAAGTAAATGCTAGGGTGTTCGGGAGAGGGGTGGGGTTAAATTATGGGGAATCAAATACAAAATGGGAATTGACATAGTTGCTTTTTGCTGATGATGATGTGCTTATAGGAGATTCTAAAGAAAAGTTTTTCTACTGTTAAAATTATGCTACATATACTATGGCGGGACACCACCTTGAAAGAAGCTAAGGTGTCAAGTGGTTGGGCCACTTACCTTTTATATCCTACCTCATTCTCCCCTCCCACCCTTTTCCAATATTTCTATCCTTACCCATCCTTTTTCCTTACCCATCTTACCAAACACTGGTCGTAAGAAGAAGAAAGAAAAGTTGCAAAGGTTAGGGGACACGTTTAGGAATGTGTGTAAAGGTAGAAAGTTGAGAGTGAACATAGAAAAGAGTAAGGTGATGAGCGTATCAAATTATTTAGATAAAGGAAAATTGGAAGAAGTATGGAAGAAGTATATGTTTTTAGATATTTGGGAGTTGTGTCAGCGGATGGATGTATGAAGGATGAGATTAACCATAGAATTGATGAAGAAACAAAGGTGAATGGTGCATTGAGGTATATGTGGAGACAAAAAACATTATCTATGAAGGCAAAGGAGGGAATGTATGAAAGCGTAGTTGTACCAACACTCTCATATGGGTGTGAAGCTTGGGTTGTAAATGCTGCAGCGAGTAGGCGGTGGAGATGTCCTGTCTAAGGGCAGTATGTGGTGTGAATATTATGCAGAGACTTCGGAGTGTGGAAATTAGGAAATGGTGCGGAGTTAATAAAAGTATTAGAGGGCTGAAGTGGGGTTGTTGAGGTGGTTTGGTCATTTAGAGAGAATGGATCAAAGAATGACATGGAGAGCGTATACATCTGCAGGGAAAGGAAGGCGGGGTAGGGGTCGTCCTCGAAAAGGTTGAAGGGAGGGGGTAAAGGAGGTTTTGTGGAGGAGGGGCTTGGGCTTCCAGCAAGCATGCGTGAGCTTGTTAGATAGGGTGAATGGAGACGAATGGTATTTGGGACCTGACGAGCTGTTGGAGTGTGAGCAGGGTAATATTTAGTGAAGGGATTCAGGGAAACCGGTTATTTTTATATAGTTGGACTTGAGTCCTGGAAATGGGAAGTACAATGCCTGCCCTCTAAAGGAGGGGTTTGGGATATTGGCAGTTTGGAGGGATATGTTGTGTATCTTTATAGGTATATGCTTCTAAACTGTTGTGTTCTGAGCACCTCTGCAAAAACAGTGATTGTGTGAGTGAGGTGAAAGTGTTGAACGATGAAAGTATTTTCTTTTTGGGGATTTTCTTTCTTTTTGAGCCACCCTGCCTCGGTGGGAGACGGCCGACTTAACAATTCTGCTTGTCGAGTATACCTGGTAGTGTATGGTACAGATATTATCGAAAGAACTACAGGCAAGACGGAAAGCAATATCGCAGATTAAAAAGGAGGCTTTAGGAAGGGTAGCGGATGTGTAGACCAAATGTTTACAGTGAAACATAGACGGGTAATGAAGTTTATCGTTGTATTAAGGATTTTGGAAAGGCATATTATATTGTAGACTGAGAAGCAATGTGGCAGATGTTGCAAGTGTATGAAATAGGTTTTAGGAGACTGAAAGCAGGTAAGAGTTTTTATGAGGATAGTAAGGCGCAGGTTAAAGTACGTGCGAGACCGAGATTAAGTCCCATTAAAAGTAGGACAAGGATATGTGATGTCACCACGGTGTTCAATATATTAATAGATGGGGTTGTGAGAAGTGAACGCTGGGGAGTTCCGGAGAGGTGTGGGATTGGAAGATAAATAATCTCGTATAAAGTGGGAGTTGTCACAGTTGCTTTTCGCCGATAACACTGTGCTTTTGGGAGATTCTGAAGAGAAGTTGCAAAGGTGGGAAGAGGAATTTGGGAAGGTGTGTAAAAGAACGAAATTAAAAGAGAAAATGCGACAGAGGAAGATGAGGGTGACGAAAAATTTGGGTAATGGGATATGATATTGGAGGGTGGGAGTATGAAGGTAGTGAATGTGTTCAGATATTTGGGTGTGGACTTGTTTTAAGATGGGTCTATGGAAGACCAGGAACTGACAAGGAAAATATGAATGTTGCATCGAGACATCTGTACACGAGCGTATAGTGGTACCAACGGTATTATATAGGGGAGGAGCATCTGTTGTGAATGTTGCAACAATAAGGTTGGAGGGAGTGGAAATGTCGTGTCTGAGGCAATGTGTGGTATGAATATTATGCAGAGAAATCGCAAACAGGAATAGAACAAGGTATGGAGTTACAAAAAAGAATTATCCAAAGGGCTGAAGATGGGCAGTTCAGACGATTCAGACATTTACAGAATAGAACATTACAGGATAACTTGGTGTAAAAATCTGCAGTGGACGTGAGGTCGGATTGGGAGTCGTCCTTGGAAAGGTTGGAGGGAGGGGATAAAAGAGGCAAGGTATAATAATATCATCATTTATGAAGGGATTCAGCGAAATTAGTGGGAAATATGTTTTTTTTAACAAGTCGGCCGTCTCCCACCGAGGCAGGGTGACCCAAAAAGAAAAAAAATCCCCAAAAAGAAAATACTTTTATCATCATTCAACACTTTCACCTCACACATAATCACTGTTTTTGCAGAGGTGCTCAGAACACAACAGTTTAGAAGCATATACGTATAAAGATACACAACATATCCCTCCAAACTGCAAATATCCCGAACCCCTCCTTTAAAGTGCAGGCATTGTACTTCCCATTTCCAGGACTCAAGTCCGGCTATATAAAAATAACCAGTTTCCCTGAATCCCTTCACTAAATATTACCCTGCTCACACTCCAACAGATCGTCAGGTCCCAAATACCATTCGTCTTCATTCACTCCTATCTAACACGCTCACGCGCGCTTGCTGGTAGTCCAAGCCCCTCGCCCACAAAACCTCCTTTACCCACTCCCTCCAACCTTTTCGAGGACGACCCCTACCCCGCCTTCCTTCCCCAACAGATTTATACGCTCTCCACGTCATTCTACTTTGATCAATTCTCTCTAAATGACCAAACCACCTCAACAGCCCCTCTTCAGCCCTCTGACTAATACTTTTATTAACTCCACACCTTCTCTGAATTTTCTGCCTAATATTTACACCACACATTGCCCTTAGACAAGACATCTCCACTGCCTCCAACCGCCTCCTCGCTGCAGCATTTACAACCCAAGCTTCATACTCATATAAGTGTTGGTACCACTGTACTTTCATACATTCCCTTCTTTGCCTCCATAGATATCGTTTTTTGTCTCCACATATACCTCAACGCACCACTCGCCTTTTTTCCTTCATCAACTCTATGATTAACCTCATCCTTCATAATTCCATCCGCTGACAGGTCAACTCCCAAATACCTGAAAAGATTCACTTCTTCCATACTCCTCTCCAATTCGATATCCAGTTTTTCTTTATCTAAATCGTTTGATACCCTTATCACGTTACTCTTTTCTATGTTCACTTTCAACTTTCTACCTTTACACACACTCCCAAACTCGTCAACTAACCTTTGCAATTTTTCTTTAGAATCTCCCATAAGCACAGTATCATCAGCAAAATGTAACTGTGTCAATTCCCATTTTGTATTTGATTCCCCATAATTTATCCCACCCCTCTCCCGAACACTCTAGCATTTACTTCTTTTACAACCCCATCTATAAATATATTAAGCAACCATGGTGACATTACACATCCCTGTTGAAGACCCACCTTTACCGGGAAGTATTCTCCCATTCTCTTACACACCCTAACCTGAGCCTCACTATCCTCATAAAAACTCTTTACAGTATTTAGTAACTTACCACCTATTCCATATACTTGCAACATCTGCCACATTGCTCCTCTATCCACTCTATCATGTGCCTTTTCTAAATCCATAAATGCAATGAAAACTTCCCTACTTTTATCTAAATACTAGTGGCTAACGCGACGGGCTGGAGTTTTGAGACTCTATGACCGCGGGTTCAATCCCGGCCGGGGGTATGGTTTGGTTTGCTTCAATGTAAACACTTGATCTACACAATCCCTATATATATATATATATATATATATATATATATATATATATATATATATATATATATATATATATATAATATTATATATATCTAGTGGGACTTGAGTCCTGGAAATGGGAAGTACAATGCCTGCACTTTAAAGAAGGGGTTTGGGATATTGGCAGTTTGGAGGGATATGTTGTGTATCTTTATATGTGTATGCTTCTAAACTGTTGTATTCTGAGCACCTCTGCAAAAACAGTGATAATGTGTGAGTGTGGTGAAAGTGTTGAATGATGATGAAAGTATTTTCTTTTTATGGATTTTCTTTCTTTTTTTGGTCACCCTGCCTCGGTGGGAGACGGCCGACTTGTTAAAAAAAAAAAAAAAAAAATGTATGTGTGTGTATATATATATATTTATTTATTTATTTATTTATTCTACATGTTAACTTTATTAATAGACACAATACATTGATAGAAAACACAAATATGAATACATTGGTACAATATATCAAAGGTTATGAATCTCTTCAGCTCCTCCGAAGCCGGAAGCAAGCCCAGCATGCAGCATGCATTTCCCCTCTGGATGACCACGCTGAGACGCTGGAACATAAAAGTGGCTGCTCTTGGGTCTCTGTTTGCTCTAAAACTAGACCTAAGAATGTGAGGATACGTACGCAATAGCGCTGGTCTTGGCAATGTTGACCTTGATCCTTGTGCTTCCTTGGAGGCCAGGAAGTATATCCACGAGAGTGAGAACCACCTTCGCTGTCAGTGACACGTTCTTGTAGCCTTCCCTCTCCAGTCTATAAGACGGCTGTCAGGGAGACACAACGAGAGTATCACACACAAGCACAGACTGGCAGATGAGATGAAATGGGGTAATTACATAGTGAATATGCTAGTCTTTGATTATTGCATTAGTTTTGACCTCATAGATGGCCAACATTGCCCAGGCGATGTTGGATCCACGAAGTCTAATGAGTTTCTATAAATATGAAGATAAGCGTAAGAAGATATCACTACATAAGGAGTATATATAACACCATAATAAAGTAGGAAAAAACAGCGCTTAACAAAAAAAACATAAGAAAAATAACTAAAAAACCGTTTAACACAATTTTTATTTAAGCCTTAAAAAAAACGTCAGATAGGTGGTTGCAGTACTGACCGTGGGGTTGCTCTTGGAGTCGAGTGGATGGGTGTAATTGGAGGTCTCGGTGAAAGCACCGGTCGGGGTCTGGTAACGCAGCAACCACTTCGCAGATGTGTTGATCATCTCTGGGTCGATGTAGATCAGGTTCTCCCAATCCTGAAGTACACAAACACTCATTATTCACTGATACTGTTGGTTTGTTGGTTTAAAAGCCTATCTACCAAGGCTTTGTATCACCTTCAAACCGCTCGCTGAGGATTCTGCAATCGACTTAGAGAATCTCCCGAGTCGCTCTGGCACTTGGGCCGCATATAGTGCCAGGAATGACTCAAATGGAGCAGACCTTTTAAGAACCGAAAGCCTCATACCATCGAAAAAAACGGCCCTGACACCACTTGAACCGAAGACGTGCTGTACCTTAGCTACAGCTAACTTCACTACTTGTGCTGAAGACGACTCACCGTGCACTTGTAACAAGGCTGCCCTCGCCATAGGACTGTAGACTGCAATCAACTTCATAAGAATGCTCACCGTTCCCCATACCCTAGTGATGAAAAAGGTACACCACTTGTACAAACTCCGATACTACTTCGGGAGCCAGTGACGGGTCACCATATGGAAAAGATCCGGGCCAGGACCCGTCCAGGTAAATCTGAACCTGGTCTGGAACGATTTGAAGCTGAAGCATGAGAATGTAGTCAAATACCGTCGAAGGTGAAGTGGAAGATCTCGAAGACGTTGCAGGGGACGGGATTGTCTAGTAAAAGTAAAAAGGTAAGAACTGAAGTACTGCAGCAAGCCTAATGGCCCATGCTAGGCAACTAGATGCCCTCCATCGAGCAACTTTATCAACAGCTTAAAGAAGAATTGAGGATGGCGAAGGTGGAGATTCGGCGACTGACCGAGGAAAACAAGAAGATTCATAGTCCTCCTGTTTTGAGTCCTCAGGTCAAGAAGGGAAACTGGTCAGTGGCTAGACAACAGGGAATGAAGTTGACGATCAAGAGGACGAATGGAAAGGTAGAAACGATGAAGAAGAAAGAGACTGCCGTGGAAACTGTTGTGGAAACATCTAATACATTCTCAGTGCTACCCGACGAATGTGAGTCGACTACTGGGAACAACACGACGAACGACACCAAGGAAGGTAAGAATATTGTTGTTGTTGGGGATAGCCAAGTTAGGTATATGGACAGGGCGTTCTGCTTGAAGGACAGGAGTAGGAGACAGAGTTTGCTTTCCTGGGGCTGGGATGGAGGATATTGTTAGCCATCTGGATGACATCATGAGAGGTAATGGGAGCGATCCTATTATCTGTCCCAGTGCTGGAGGCAACGATGTTGGCAGACGTAGGAGTGAAGACCTGATTAGCAGGTATAGGTCAGCAATAGAAATAATTAGGAGTAAGGGTGGGAACCCTGTCATATGTGGTATTTTGCCAAGGAGAGGAGTTGGAAATGAATGGTTGTCCAGGGCAATTGGTGTCAATTGCTGGCTGGACAAATACTGTAAGGAAAATGCGGTAACATTCATTGACAACTGGGACCTCTTCTATGGCAGAAATGACATGTATGCCAGGGATGGGGTTCACTTATCTAGGTCTGGGGTGGTAGCACTGGCAACTGCAGTGGAGGGAGCAGTTAGGACTTTAAACTAGGAATAGTTAGTGGTATGGGTTTTGGCAGGAAAACAGTGAAGTCCCAGTGTAGTAAAATATTACGAGTTCTAGGGGAACTAGTAATAAGCAGAACGAGGTAGATATTGAAAAGCCAGGGACTTTGGGTGATAAGGACAGTAATAGGTTTAGTAGAAAAACAGAAATGAGCAGGAAGGGTAAAGAGAATTGGAGAGTCTTTCAATGTTTATTATGCTAATTGCCGTAGTGCTAGGAATAAGATGGACGAGTTGAGATTAGTTGCTAGTGCAGGTAACATTGATGTATTTGCCTTAACTGAGACGTGGTTTAATTCAAAAAGTCGGGACATGCCTGCGGAATGTCATATTCAGGGTTTTAAATTGTTCCAAGTAGATAGAAGTATCGGGAAGGGGGGTGGGGTGGCATTGTATGTCCGAGATCGCTTGAACTGTTGCATAAAACGGGTATTAAGTCTGAAGTAACACATACAGAGTCTGTTTGGATAGAATTTTCAGAGGGGCATGAAAAACTGATTTTAGGAGTGATATACCGTCCCCCAAACTTAGATAGGGACCAAGGAGACTACTATGGGAGGAAATTGCTAAGGCCACAAGGCACGATAATGTAGTAATTCTAGGAGACTTTAACTTTAGTCATATTGATTGGAATTTCTTGACTGGGAATTTAGAATCATACGACTTCTTAGAAGTAGTTCAGGATTGTTTTTTGAAGCAGTTTGTGACAGAACCTACAAGGGGAAATAACCTGCTTGACTTAGTTATGGCAAACGATGAATCCCTTGTTAATAATTTAGAAATTTCAGAGGAACTGGGTGCTAGCGACCACAAATCAATTACATTTAGCATTGAATGGAAGTACGATAGTAGCGATAACTCAGTAACAGTCCCAGATTTTCGCTTAGCAGATTACGATGGGCTTAGAGAACACTTATCATCTGTTGACTGGGGTAACGAAGTGAGCTATCAATATGACAGTTTTCTGAACACTATACATGCTGCTCAAAGAACGTTTATCCCATATAAAGAAATTAGATCAAATAGAAATGACCCAAAATGGATGAATAATAGGCTCAAATATCTACTAGGGCATAAGAAAGGAATTTATAGGCGTATCAGAAGAGGTGAGGGTCATCTTATGAATCAGTATATTGACATTAAGAGGGACATTAAAAAGGGGATAAGAAAAGCTAAAAGGGACTATGAAATTAAAGTTGCTAGGGATTCTAAAACTAACCCAAAAAGTTTTTTCCAGGTCTATAGAACAAAAGTTGGAGATAAGATAGGTCCCCTTAAAAATAACTATGGGCACCTTACTGACAAAGAGAATGAAATGTGCTCGATTTTTAATAATTATTTTCTCTATTTTTACACAGGAAGACACTAACAATATTCCAGTAATTAATTTTTATAGTGGGCTAGAAGAGGATAAATTATGTAACATCACAGTCACTAGTGAAATGGTTGTGAAGCAGATAGACTGAAGCAAAATAAGTCGCCGGGTCCTGATGAGGTTTTTTCAAGGGTTCTTAAGGAATGCAAAATGGAACCCTGTGAACCATTAACTAATATTTTTAATTTATCTCTTCAAACAGGTGTAGTGTCTGATATGTGGAAGATGGCTAATGTAATTCCTATTTTTAAAACAGGGGACAAGTCGTTACCGTCAAATTACCGCCCAATAAGCCTGACCTCAATTGTAGGCAAATTACTAGAGTCAATTATAGCTGAGATTATAAGAAGCCATCTCGATAAGCATAGCTTGATTAATGATACTCAGCATGGATTCACAAGAGGCCGGTCTTGTCTAACTAATTTATTAACTTTCTTCAGTAAAGCTTTTGAGGCTGTTGACCACGATAAAGAATTTGATATTATTTATTTAGATTTTAGTAAGGCTTTTGATAGAGTTCCGCACCACAGACTGTTAAAGAAAGTGGCAGCTCATGGCGTTGGGGGAAAAGTGCTCTCGTGGATCGAATCATGGCTCACTGACAGGAAGCAGTGTGTGTCCATAAATGGGGTTAAATCCGAGTGGGGATCTGTAACAAGTGGCGTTCCACAGGGATCAGTCTTGGGCCCGTTGTTGTTTATAATATATATCAATGATCTTGATGAGGGAATTACTAGTGATATGAGCAAATTCGCCGATGACACAAAGATAGGTAGGATAATTGATTCAAACGTAGATGTTATGGAACTTCAGGAGGATTTAAACACACTATTCTTGGTCAGAAAAGTGGCAGATGCAGTTCAATGTAGATAAATGCAAGGTTCTGAAGCTCGGGAGTGCCCATAACCCTAGTACTTATAAGTTAAATGATGTAGAACTTAGCCATACAGATTGCGAAAAGGACTTGGGGGTTATGGTGAGCAGCAACCTTAAACCAAGACAGCAATGCCTAAGCGTACGTAATAAGGCAAATAGATTACTGGGATTTATATCAAGAAGTGTAAGCAACAGAAGTCCAGAGGTAATACTGCAGCTTTATACATCATTAGTAAGGCCTCACCTAGATTATGCAGCTCAATTCTGGTCTCCATTTTACAGAATGGACATAAATTCGTTAGAAAACATTCAGCGTAGGATGACTAAATTAATACATAGCATTAGAAATCTTCCTTATGAAGAAAGATTGAAGACTCTTAAGTTACATTCACTTGTTAGACGAAGAATGAGGGGAGACCTGATCGAAGTGTATAAGTGGAAGATAGGTATTAATAAAGGGGATATTAATAAGGTCTTGAGGATGTCTCTCCAAGAGAGAACCCGCAGTAATGGATTTAAATTAGATAAGTTTAGATTTAGAAAGGACATAGGAAAGTATTGGTTTGGAAATAGGGTAGTTGATGAGTGGAACAGTCTACCTAGTTGGGTTATTGAGGGTAGGACTTTGGGTAGTTTCAAATTTAGGTTGGATAAGTACATGAGTGGGAGGGGTTGGATTTGAGAGGGACTTGCACATCGGAGCTTGTTTCTTGGGTGGCATTGAAAATTGGGTTGGTCAAATGTTTGTTAGTGGGATGAATTGTAAAGGACCTGCCTAGTATGGGCCAACAGGCCTGCTGCAGTGTTCCTCCTTTCTTATGTTCTCAGTATTCTGTATGGGACTCTATGCAAAGTTTTACTGAAAGCCAAGTATACAACACTGCATTGTTTATCATGGCCCACTGCTGCAAATGCCTTACTAGAGTCGTTAAAATTATTTAGTCAGGATCAGTCCCTCGTGAATTCCTGTAGACTCGACAATCATATTTGTTGATCAGAGGTGACTTCTAATTATATCTGCTGTTATGGAATTAGGTAATTTCCCGTAAACTGATGTCGGGCTGCCTGAGCAGTAATTTGATGAAGGCGACTTGTCTTCCCTTTTGTAGATAGCAAATACATTACCTAACTCTCACGTCAAGCTACGATGTCTTTTCCTAGTAATATATTAGAAAGACTAGTTAGAGGCTCATTGCATTTCATCCTGCATTATTTAAAAAATTCTTAAATAAAACAAGTTGGACAGGACCTGGGGACATATTTTGCAATAATCGGTCCACCTATTTAATAATCATGTCTCTAGTGACGGTGAAATTACATAATGCGTTTTCTTCAGGTTCACTGTAATAAGTAATTACTGTAGTTTCGTTTGTTACTACTTGTGTAAAAATCGAGAGAAAATAACTGTTAAAACTCGAGCATAATTCTTTCTCATTGTCAGAAAGTTGTCCACTAATAGTTTAAATGGACAAAATTTTCTAGTCTTTGTTCTGTGTACATAGAAAAACTTTCGGATTTATCTTTGTTTCCTTTGCAACTTTAATTACAAAATGTAAAGATCTTTTATCTCATATTTATTCTTTTATTATGAATAATTTGGTTCATGAAGTGATCGTCTCCTTCATTATTGCGTCTATAAATTCCCCCTTTTTTCAACGAAAATGATTTTAACGTTCGTTTCGTATCTCATTATTTTCATTCGAACTTGCTTCTCTCAAAGGAATATATGTTCCTTTTTGCAGCTTGCATAATACTGACGAACAAGTATATACAAGAGTATACCTGGAAGCTGGCTAGCCAGAGAGTCTTGAGGACATGAGCGGTGAGCCACACACTGGGCTCAGAGTCAGGCCACATCCTGAACGCACCATCCTCGTCCTGGTAACGGGCGAGAGCCGCATAATGCACATTCACTGCTGTCAGAACCTGAGGAGAAAGACGTTCTTTGCGTATAATGCATTTTTCTTTATATGATAGTCAACCGAAAATCATGATAATTTCGAATCAATAATTTTACAAGGGAATAAAATGTAACTTAGTTTATAATTTTGTTAGTGACGCAATTTTTACACTATTTTTCCTTGTCTTTTAATTTTTTTTTCAACAAGTCGGCCGTCTCCCACCGAGGCAGGGTGACCCAAAAAGAAAGAAAATCCCCAAAAAAGAAAATACTTTCATCATTCAACACTTTCACCTGACTCATACATAATCACTGTTTTTGCAGAGGTGCTCAGAAACACAACAGTTTAGAAGCATATACGTATAAAGATACACAACATATCCCTCCAAACTGCTAATATCCCAAAACCCCTCCTTTAGAGTGCAGGCATTGTACTTCCCATTTCCAGGACTCAAGAACGGCTATATAAAAATAACCGGTTTCCCTAAATTCCTTCACTAAATATTACCCTGCTCACACTCCAACAGATCGTCAAGTCCCAAATACCATTCGTCTCCATTCACTCCTATCGAACACGCTCATGCACGCCTGCTGGAAGTCCAAGCCCCTCGCCCACAAAACCCTCCCTTACCTCTTCCTTCCAACCTTTTCGAGGACGACCCCTACCCCGCCTTCCTTCTCCTACAGATTTAAATGCTCTCCATGTCATTCTACTTTGATCCATTCTCTCTAAATGACCAAACCACCTCAACAACCCCTCTTCAGCCCTCTGACTAATACTTTTATTAACTCCACACCTCCTAATTTCCACACTCCGAATTTTCTGCATATTTACACCACACATTGCCCTTAGACAGGACATCTCCACTGCCTCCAACCGTCTCCTCTCTGCTGCATTCACAACCCAAGCTTCACGCCCATATACGAGTGTTGGTACTACTATACTTTCATACATTCCCTTCTTTGCCTCCATAGATAACGTTTTTTGACTCCACATATACCTCAACGCACCACTCGCCTTTTTTCCTTCATCAATTCTATGATTAACCTCATCCTTCATAAATCCATCCGCCGACATGTCAATTCCCAAGTATCTGAAAACATTCACTTCTTCCATACTCCTCCTCCCCAATTTGATATCCAATTTTTCTTTATCTAAATCATTTGATACCCTCATCACCTTACTCTTTTCTATGTTCACTTTCAACTTTCTTTTAATATAACATAAATTTCCTTATAGAAATAATCCTCAGTAATCAATCTCACTGAACAATCAATTAAATTAATAGTAAAGAATCATTTCTTTCCTAGAATGGTGTGTTTAGTAGGTCAGGGTTGCCCAGATAAATATCGTATGTAATATTTTCATTTCTTTCTCTTTCGCTGAAACAGGCACATATATCTTGTGTTGTTTAAAATTATATGCACACGAATTATTTAGTTTCTTTATGTGAAGCGCCAACCCCGTGTGCGTCGCTCAGCACAAGTCGTGGTGGTGGCTTCATCCTTCAGCATCCATCAAGCAGCCAGGCTAAGAGGAGAATAGAAATTCAAAAATTTGTGTCCGTAAAACTTTTTGCAAGAAATGCATGAGCATATTTAAATAATAGAGCAAAATATAAAATTTTCACATATAAAATACAAGAATGTTAGTCAAGAATTATTCACATGTAGATGAACTGAGTGAGCGATGTCTAGCTGGACATGTCGAACCTACTGTACTTGCCACTCTACAAAAGAGATTATTGTTTATTATTAATATAATTGATCGTTCAGAGAAATTTTGGTTATTAATTTAGCCTGATGAATCTCTGCCTCTAGCGGAACTTGGTCTGTAATAACAATTTGCCCTGTACAAGTTGACCTCCCACATTCACGACAAACAAAATATTTTCATCTCAGTAGGCTAGGTACCTGATACGAAAGTCCCTGAATAAGCTGGTTTGAGAGACGGAGGTAGTGAAGTGTCCAGATATTAGCTGCAAAGTTGAAGGCAGACGTCTCCGCCCCCATCACCTCCAGCCCCAGCAGGGAGTCACTTCCCACCGGCATCTCCGGAAACGCTGGCCCTACCACGTCACCTGTACAGGTCAAGCTTATGTAATAGCCTATACAAAAACGTTTTATAAATCCGAAAATAATTCAGAGAACAAATGAACAATGAATTGACGATCATACCAAAACTGATTAGCAAGTAACTCCGTTCTACTACAGAACATCACAAAAATAGGGTCTCATAACCAAATAGGAGCACATAACCAATTTAATATAGCAATCAGATGAAGTAGAAGACAAGACCAATTATAACTGACTATAGTGCGGAGTTTGTTGGTGGTAAATGTTACTGCAGCACTCACCAGACAGATGTGACCAGTCGGTGGTAAATGTTACTGCAGCACTCACCAGTGACAGAGATGTGACCAGTTGGTGTTTCGTAGATGTACCGTCGCTTAAGAGAGTAAGGTATGATGGGCGACTCATCTAGTAAGATGTCCAGGAAGTCATACACGAGCGCTCGGTTCTTGAGATCCAGCAGGATGGACGTGTGCTTCACTATTTTCACCCCCTGCAGAACATCAGGGAGGGGTAAAATACGGATAAGAGGCAAAATGTCGAGAAAGAATTCGTGGGTCAAACGAGAAGAGGAGAGGATAAAATGAATAAGACTGGTAAAAGGTTGAAAATGAGCCAAGTGGCTGAATCAAACAAGTAGAGGCTCACATGTGGAGAGAGGTAAGAGGGTGTAAAGAGAAGAGGAATAGAGGATCAAGTGGCTATAGAAACAACCGCTTAAGAAAGAAAGTGGAATCATAGGAAGGTGGAGAAAAATTATCGACTTAAAGAACACATTCGGAAGAAGTTAAGGATACTGAGAGAGTCAACTTATTCCCCATTTTTGCTTGTAGTTTTTAATATTTAAAAATATATTTTTCAGCCTTTATTTTTATATATCTTCTTTACTGTTAAATATCTACCATATTTCATTAATTAACTAACAAATAGCTGTATTGTCCTCTATATTTTTTTATCTTTAAGACCCACATGAGCTCCGCACATTTCTGTGAATAAACCAATTCTCACTGGATATAACTAGTGAGTTTTCCTCTGTCCCATTGTTTTTTTTTTTATTTTTTCCCTTGAATAGAAAGCAAATGTAAGACTGGCAAGGCATCGACTTACCTCTGTAGTTACGTCAATGATGATTGTTTCAGAATCTTTCTGCATGATAGTGGAGCCTTTCACAGTGACCTCAATCTTGCCCGTCCGTGTGAATATAATGGGGATGTGCACGTCCCGTGACTCCCCAGGATCCAGCTGCGGTAATATCGTGAAGTAGTGCGAGTTATTACTTTTGTATGTGTGTGTGTGTGTACGGACCTATGTGGTAGCAGGGATCGAGCCATAGCTCCTGACCCCGACTCTCCGCTAGGTGCTACTAGGTTCATTCTATGTGTTTCAATTGCCTTGTCGTACCTCTTCTTAAAGCTATGGATCCCGCCTCTATCATTTCACTCCAGCTTGTTCTACTTTCTGACAACTCTAAAGCTGAAGAAAAACTACCCAATATCCCTATGACTCATCTGAATTTTCAGCTTCCAGTTGTGTCGTCTTGTTCCTCTTTCCCATTTCTGCAGCCTTCTGTCTTTATTCATCTTGTCATTTCTTCTCAAATTTTATACATCGTTATCATATACCCCCCTCCCCCACAGTCCTCCGGTCCTGCAGTATCATCACGTTGAGTTCTCTTAATCTCTCCTCATGAGAGGAGAGTTTTGTTGCAAATCTCTGAAATTTCTCCAATTTTTTATGTGCTTCACCAGGTGTGGGTTCCATACTGATGTTCCATACTCCAGTATGGGCCTGATGTATACGGTGTACAGTGTATTGAATGATTCCTTACTTAAATGTCGAAACGTTATTCTTAGATTTGCCACATTTTCTGCAGCAGTTATTTGGCTGATGTGAGCCTCAAGGGTATGATACTCGTCTTAAAGTGCTTCTACTTGAGTGAGGTTTGCAGCCTTTGACGCCGAGCCTGTATTCCAAGAGCATTTTGACAGACCTGGCCTGTAGCCTACCCAGCTCTTTGTGGCCTTTCTTGGTGCTCGTCTGCTTGCATCTCATTACTTTCACGTTTTCACATCGTCTGCGAACAGGGACCCCTCTGACTATATTTCTTCTGTCATTTAATTGATGTATACAAGAAACAGCACGGGCCCTAAGACTGATCCTGGTGGAAACCCACCTGTCACATGCACCCATTCCAACATCACCTCAGGTACTTCCGTCCTGTCACATATTCCATGATCTATTGCAATGCTTTTCCTGTTATTCGTTCCTTCTCTAACTTTTGTACCAATCTCCCTTGCGATATTGTCAAAATCCTTCTTATAGTCCAGAAAAATGCAATCTGCCCATCCTCCCCCCCCCCTCTCTCTCTCTCTCCTATCTTATTTCTGTTACCTTGTCGTAGAACTCCATTAGGTTTGTGACACGGGATTTTCCATCCCTGAAGCCATGCTGGTTGTCAGGTATGAGTTCACTCCTTTCCATGTACTCCTCCATTCTTCACATAATAATCTTTTCCATAACTTTATATACGATGCATGTCATTGACACTGGTCTGTAGTTTAATGCTGCCTGTCTGTCTCCTTTCTTAAAAACTGGGGCTACATTTGCTGTCTTTCACACCTCTGGCAATTGGACCAGTTTCGAAAGACTTCTTGAAAATTGCTGTAAGCGGCACACACAGTGCCTCAGCTCCCCCTCCCAGGACATATGGAGAGATATTATCTGGTCCCTCTGTCTTCGAGGTATCTAACTCGGATAGCAGTTTCATCACTTCCTCACCGGTTGCATGTGCACTCTTCTGTCTCGGTTTGCTGGAAGTCTTTGTGTATCCTCGGAGAATAACTCCCGAAATCTCATGCTGAGCTCTTCACAGACTTCCTAGACATTCCTTGTGAGTCTTAACGTTAAAGGTGTCACCTGACTGTGGTATCTAGAAGGGGTAACAGGAGGTTGGCGGTAGTTTCAACATTTCAAGCATATTATGCTTGAAATGTTGAAACTACCGCATTTCAGTTAAAATCAATGTAGTGCCTTTTCTCTGATGACGACATTGACTACTCAGAGCTATATCAGATGGGCATTCGAAGTGCGGTGAACCACGCACACATTGTTTACGTCATCCTGGCTACAGGCATGTTTATGCTTTCTGAAGTGCTCTTCATTACGTTCTGCTGTCTCTGCTCTGTATATTTTATTGTGGTCAAAAGTGAATGGCGTAGACCTCTGCATTATAGTATATGGGTGTGGCAGGGGCCTTCTTCCTGGTCAGGTCTTCGAAGCTGGTGGAAGAGCTGGTGGCGACGATACTGGTTACGTCCTCACACGGGGCGACAGTGAGTGAACCTCTTAGTGGAGCAGTCTCAAGTTATGTTCACGATGCACCTGACTTCTTGCCTAAATACGTATTCTGATACATTCACGCACTGTACTGGACTGAAAAAACTACCACTATTCTATTGTTGCAAAAGTGTCTTATTTACATTATGCTAAAATACATGTGGACACACAAATGATACATTCCATTAGCATTATTATATATCATTATTACTTTAACATTTATTAACACCATTATCATTATTATTGTAAATAGGATGCTCATACCACTGTTATTCTAAGTCATGACTGCAGTTTGACTTAGTATAGCATGTTATGATATACGATGTTTATATATATATTATATATATATATATATATATATATATATAAATTTTTTTTTCTCAACAAATCGGTCGTCTCCCACCGAGGCAGGGTGACCCAAAAAAGAAAGAAAATCCCCAAAAAGAAAACACTTTCATCATCATTCAACACTTTCACCACACTCGCATATTATCACTGCTTTTACAGAGGTGCTCAGAATACAAAAGTTTTAGAAGCATACACATATAAAGATACACAACATATCCCTCCAAACTGCCAATATCCCAAACCCTCCTTTAAAGTGCAGGCATTGTACTTCCCATTTCCAGGACTCAAGTCCGACTAAATGAAAATAACCGGTTTCCCTGAATCCCTTCACTAAATATTACCCTGCTCACACTCCAACAGATCGTCGGGTTTCCCAAGTATCATTCGTCTCTATTCACTCCTATCTAACACGCTCACGCACGCTTGCTGGAAGTCCAATCCCCTTGCCCACAAAACCTCCTTTACCCCCTCTCTCCAACCCTTTCGAGGACGACCCCTACCCCGCCTTCCTTCCCCTATAGATTTATATGCTTTCCATGTCATTCTACTTTGATCCATTCTCTCTAAATGACCAAACCACCTCAACAACCCCTCTTCTGCCCTCTGACTAAACACTTTTATTAACTCCACACCTTTTCCTAATTTCCACACTCCGAATTTTCTGCATAATATTTACACCACACATTGCCCTTAAACAGGACATCTCCACTGCCTCCTCGCTGCTGCATTTACCACCCAAGCTTCACGCCCATACACGAGTGTTGGTACTACTATACTTTCATACATTCCCTTCTTTGCCTCCATAGATAACGTTTTTTGACTCCACATATACCTCAATGCACCACTCGCCTTTTTTCCCTCATCAATTCTATGATTAACCTCATCCTTCATAAATCCATCCGCCGACACGTCAACTCCCAAGTATCTGAAAACATTCACTTCTTCCATACTCCTCCTCCCCAATTTGATATCCAATTTTTCTTTATCTAAATCATTTGATACCCTCATCACCTTACTCTTTTCTATGTTCACTTTCAACTTTCTACCTTTACATTTATATATTAGTATGTATTATATATATATTTTATATATATATATATATATATATATATATATATATATATATATATATTAAAATAGGTAGTAGGTTGGTAGACAGCAACCACGCAGGGAAGTACTACCGTCCTGCCAGATGACTGTGAAACAGAAACCTGTAACTGTTTTGCATGATGGTAGGATTGCTGGTTTCTTTTTCTGTCTCATAAACACCTAGATAACAGGGATATCTTGCTAAACCATACCCCCGGCCGGGATTGAACCCGCGGTCATAGAGTCTCAAAACTCCAGCCCGTCGCGTTAGCCATTACGATTTCTTGAGTCATATCTTGCTACTCCTACTTACACTTTAGTCACACTTCACAGACACGCACATGCATATATATATACATACATCTAGGTTTTTCTTCTTTTTCTAAATAGCTCTTGTTTTTCTTTATTTCTTCTACTGTCCATGGGGAAGTGGAAAAGAATCTTTCCTCCGTAAGCGACTAAAATGCCGGGAGCGATGGGCTAGTAACCCCTTCTCCTGTAGACATTTACTAAAAAAGAGAAGAAGAAAAACTTTATAAAACTGGGATGCTTGAATGTGTGTGGATGTAGTGCGGATGACAAGAAACAGATGATTGCTGATGTTATGAATGAAAAGTTGGATGTCCTGGCCCTAAGCGAAACAAAGCTGAAGGGGGTAGGGGCGTTTCAGTGGGGGGAAATAAATAGAATTAAATCTGGAGTATCTGAGAGAGTTAGAGCAAAGGAAGGGGTAGCAGTAATGTTGAAGGATCAGTTATGGAAGGAGAAAAGAGAATATGAATGTGTAAATTCAAGAATTATGTGGATTAAAGTAAAGGTTGGATGCGAAAAGTTGGTCATAAAGCGTGTATGCACCTGGAGAAGAGAGGAATGTAGAGGAGAGAGAGAGATTTTGGGAGATGTTAAGTGAATGTAAAGGAGCCTTTGAACCAAGTGAGAGAGTAATTGTGGTAGGGGACCTGAATGCTGAAGTAGGAGAAACTTTTAGAGAGGGTGTGGTAGGTAAGTTTGGGGTGCCAGGTGTAAATGATAATGGGAGCCCTTTGATTGAACTTTGTATAGAAAGGGGTTTAGTTATAGGTAATACATATTTTAAGAAAAAGAGGATAAATAAGTATACAAGATATGATGTAGGGTGAAATGACAGTAGTTTGTTGGATTATGTATTGGTAGATAAAAGACTGTTGAGTAGACTTCAGGATGTACACGTTTATAGAGGGGCCACAGATATATCAGATCACTTTTTAGTTGTAGCTACACTGAGAGTAAAAGGTAGATGGGATACAAGGAGCATAGAAGCATCAGGGAAGAGAGAGGTGAAGGTTTATAAACTAAAAGAGGAGGCAATTAGGGTAAGATATAAACAGCTATTGGAGGATAGATGGGCTAATGAGAGCATAGGCAATGGGGTCGAAGAGGTATGGGGTAGGTTTAAAAATGTAGTGTTAGTGTTTTCAGCAGAAGTTTGTGGTTACAGGAAAATGGGTGCGGGAGGGAAGAGCGATTGGTGGAATGATGATGTAAAGAGAGTAGTAAGGGAGAAAAAGTTAGCATATGAGAAGTTTTTACAAAGTAGAAGTGATGCAAGGAGGGAAGAGTATATGGAGAAAAAGAGAGAGGTTAAGAGAATGGTGAAGCAATGTAAAAAGAGAGCAAATGAGAGAGTGGGTGAGATGCTATCAACAAATTTTGTTGAAAATAAAAAAGTTTTGGAGTGAGATTAACAAGTTAAGGAAGCCTAGAGAACAAATGGATTTGTCAGTTAAAAATAGGAGAGGAGAGTTATTAAATGGAGAGTTAGAGGTATTGGGAAGATGGAGGGAATATTTTGAGGATTGTTAAATGTTGATGAAGATAGGGAAGCTGTGATTTCGTGTATAGGGCAAAGGAGGAATAACATCTTGTAGGAGTGAGGAAGAGCCAGTTGTGAGTGTGGGGGAAGTTCGTGAGGCAGTAGGTAAAATGAAAGGGGGTAAGGCAGCCGGGATTGATGGGATAAAGATAGAAATGTTAAAAGCAGGTGGGGATATAGTTTTGGAGTGGTTGGTGCAATTATTTAATAAATGTATGGAAGAGGGTAAGGTACCTAGGGACTGGCAGAGAGCATGCATAGTTCCTTTGTATAAAGGCAAAAGGGGACAAAAGAGGACAAAAATTATAGGGGGATAAGTCTGTTGAGTATACCTGGTGAAGTGTATGGTAGTTATTATTGAAAGAATTAAGAGTAAGACGGAGAATAGGATAGCAGATGAACAAGGAGGCTTTAGGAAAGGTAGGGGGTGTGTGGACCAGGTGTTTACAGTGAAACATATAAGTGAACAGTATTTAGATAAGGTTAAAGAGGTTTTTGTGGCATTTATGGATTTGGAAAAGGCGTATGACAGGGTGGATAGGGGAGCAATGTGGCAGATGTTGCAGGTGTATGGTGTAGGAGGTAGGTTACTGAAAGCAGTGAAGAGTTTTTACGAGGATAGTGAGGCTCAAGTTAGAGTATGTAGGAAAGAGGGAGATTATTTCCCAGTAAAAGTAGGCCTTAGACAAGGATGTGTGATGTCACCGTGGTTGTTTAATATATTTATAGATGGGGTTGTAAGAGAAGTAAATGCGAGGGTCATGGCAAGAGGAGTGGAGTTAAAAGATAAAGAATCATACATAAAGTGGGAGTTGTCACAGTTGCTCTTTGCTGATGACACTGTGCTCTTGGGAGATTCTGTAGAGAAGTTGCAGAGATTGGTGGATGAATTTGGTAGGGTGTGCAAAAGAAGAAAATTAAAAGTGAATACAGGAAAGAGTAAGGTTATGTGGATAACAAAAAGATTAGGTGATGAAAGATTGGATATCAGATTGGAGGGAGAGAGTATGGAGGAGGTGAATGTATTCAGATATTTGGGAGTGGACGTGTCAGCGGATGGGTCTATGAAAGATGAGGTGAATCATAGAATTGATGAGGGGAAAAGGGTGAGCGGTGCACTTAGGAGTCTGTGGAGACAAAGAACTTTGTCCTTGGAGGCAAAGAGGGGAATGTATGAGAGTATAGTTTTACCAATGCTCTTATATGGGTGTGAAGCATGGGTGATGAATGTTGCAGCGAGGAGAAGGCTGGAGGTAGTGGAGATGTCGTGTCTGAGGGCAATGTGTGGTGTGAATATAATGCAGAGAATTCGTAGTTTGGAAGTTAGGAGGAGGTGCGGGATTACCAAAACTGTTGTCCAGAGGGCTGAGGAAGGGTTGTTGAGGTGGTTCGGACATGTAGAGAGAATGGAGCGAAACAGAATGACTTCAAGAGTGTATTAGTCTGTAGTGGAAGGAAGGCGGGGTAGAGGTCGGCCTAGGAAAGGTTGGAGGGAGGGGGTAAAGGAGGTTTTGTGTGCGAGGGGCTTGGGCTTTCAGTGGGCATGCGTGAGCGCGTTTGATAGGAGTGAATGGAGACAAATGGTTTTTAATACTTGACGTGCTGTTGGAGTGTGAGCAAAGTAAAATTTATGAAGGGATTCAGGGAAACTGGCAGGCCGGACTTGAGTCCTGGAGATGGGAAGTACAGTGCCTGCACTCTGAAGGAGGGGTGTTAATGTTGCAGTTTAAAAACTGTAGTGTAAAGCACCCTTCTGGCAAGACAGTGATGGAGTGAATGATGGTGAAAGTTTTTCTTTTTCGGGCCACCCTGCCTTGGTGAGAATCGGCCAGTGTGTTAATAAAAAAATTAATATCTATATATATATATATATATATTTTTTTTTTTCAACAAGTCGGCCGTCTCCCACCGAGGCAGGGTGACCCAAAAAAGAAAGAAAATCCCCAAAAAGAAAATACTTTCATCATCATTCAACACTTTCACCACACTCGCACATTATCACTGTTTTTGCAGAGGTGCTCAGAATACAACAGTCTAGAAGCATAAACATATAAAGATACACAACATATCCCTCCAAACTGCCAATATCCCAAACCCCTCCTTTAAAGTGCAGGCATTGTACTTCCCATTTCCAGGACTCAAGTCCGACTATATGAAAATAACCGGTTTCCCTGAATCCCTTCACTAAATATTACCCTGCTCACACTCCAACAGATCGTCAGGTCCCAAGTACCATTCGTCTCCATTCACTCCTATCTAACACGCTCACGCACGCTTGCTGGAAGTCCAAGCCCCTTACCCACAAAACCTCCTTTACCCCTCTCTCCAACCCTTTCGAGGACGACCCTACCCCGCCTTCCTTCCCCTATAGATTTATATGCTTTCCATGTCATTCTACTGTGATCCATTCTCTCTAAATGACCAAACCACCTCAACAACCCCTCTTCTGCCCTCTGACCAATACTTTTACTAACTCCACACCTTCTCCTAATTTCCACACTCCGAATTTTCTGCATAATATTTACACCACACACATATATATATATATATATATATATATATATATATATATATATATATATAATCAAGAACACTGAGCAAGCCAAGGATTCAAACTCACGTTGTATTGGCCCGTCATTGTGAGCGAGAACCACATGACACCTTAACCAGCAGGACCACCCAGTCCTACCAGAACCAAGCACACAGCAGTGCTGTGTGTTTTACCTTGGTCCGAGGACATACGGAGGTTTGGGAGATTTCAAGCTAATTTCATTTTCATCCCTGTTTGGTGTACTTGGGATATGTTGTGTATCTTTATACGTATATGCTTCTAAACTGTTGTGTTCTGAGCACCTCTGCAAAAACAGTGATTATGTGTGAGTGAGGTGAAAGTGTTGAATGATGAAAGTATTTTCTTTCTTTTTGGGTCACGCTTCTTCGGTGGGAGACGGCCGACTTGTTAAAAAAAATTATATATATATATATATATATATATATAATATATATATATATATATATATATATATATATATATATATATATATATATATATATATATATATTATATATACATTATTGAAACCACGAACGAGTGGTATTGATCAATAATAACACTGCGACTAGCCAGTCAAACCCATGCAGCTTGGTGGGCGAAAATACATGACGCTCTAGTCCACGGGACTACACAATCCTCAAGAATGACGCATCCAGCCAAGCTAGGTGTTTTACCCGTCATCTGAGGACATACGGTGGTGTGGATGCCTCTGAGCTAATTTCATTCTACTCCCCATTTGGTGTAAAATACTGCTCGCTGGGCTAGTAAACCAAACAGGGAGTAAAATCCATGTATAAACATCTACCTATGCATATGAGTATGTGTGAATATTTTAAAATATAATGCGAATTCTTTTCGTACCTTCTAGATACTTGCACATAACCAAAACCATATGGTCACTGACCCATACTAAATGTTGATGGTCGCCGGTTGCCGTCCTGGGCTTATATGAGGTGACCACGCCATTCTTCTCCACCAGGACGGAGCGGTAATCATCGGACTGTTTCAGAGTTATCAGTATACCCACTTTTTTGGAGTGGAAGTTGAACACGCAGGCCCGTAGTCCTACTTGCTCAAACTGGCGCGCCACCTTCGGTCCCTCCAACGTCAACAGGAACGGCCCAGCAGAATCAAACTGTGTCCATGGAGGTGAATCGTCATGATTATATTGTAGAGACACTGATGATAATTTTGATATTAATGATCGCGATGGAAATTACAATAGAAAATAATAATTACAATAAAAATAATAATGATACTGTTACTTCTTTTACTATTACTACTGTTACCCTCATTACTATTACAAACTACTACTACTACTAATAATAATAATATTATTATTATTACTACTACTATTGTTATTGTATATTATTATTGTAAAATTGGACTTTGCAGATTCTTAAGAAGGTGAGGCTTCATTTAAGGAAGCCTCAAAAAAGTGTAGCTTAATCAAATCATATAAAAGAACACACCCCAAACATATATTCCTTACCACAGCAGGTAAAGACAAGTGTTCTGACTGAACATAAGAATGAAGGAACAGTGCAGCAGGCCTACTGGCCCATACTAAGCATGAGATATTCAAAAACCACCCAATCACTTGTTCAAATCCTTTTCCAAACCTGCCGAAGAATGTAAGAGAATGAGAGATGGAGCGAAAATTGATGTTATATTAGGTGTCTGTACTTAATTCAGAATATGAGGTGCACAAAAGATGAAATGTAGATGAATGGTTCAGAGAACAGACAAGTTGATAAATTAGACACATGTGTAACACTTGGGTATCTTTATTGAGGAAACGTTTCGCCACACAGTGGCTTCATCAGTCCATACAAAGGAGAATGGCGTAATTTATCAACTTGTCGGTTCTCTGAACCATTTATCTACATTCCTGTCAGACACAGCAGCATCTTGGGATCTTAATAAAGGAAATTCTTCACTTGCCTAAGCATGACCTACTTCCATATGTGGATTTGTCAAATGTGACACCTTCAACTACTGCTTCACCTCACCTGTCTACAGTTTATAAGCCACTTCTGCGTACATATGATATGTACTTTTCAAGATTGATGGGCTGATACATCAACTCAAGGCTGAGGGACTGATTATCACAAAGTCCTCCTGTTCACCATTCTCCTTTGTATGGACTGATGAAGCCACTGTGTGGCGAAACGTGTCCACAATAAAGATACCCAAGTGTTGCACATGTGTCTAATTTATCAAGATGAAATGTGTAATGTTTTTTTCCGAATGAGTAATCACATATTTTATGAATCTCCTCCGTATCCTACTTTTCCACCCAACTATAGCGTGACCTTCACACACTGAATGTTTAATGTAATGCTAAAATCGACCTTGCACTTTTTCTGAACTGGTAATAAACAAATGTTAATACGAAGAGTTTAACCACAAGTTTTACAATGAAAAGTTACAAAAGCCTCATACGTTTTAGTGCAGACAGATATGTTGCAAACACAGGTTCAGTAGCTTTCACCATGAAAAGTGATATCAGAACTCCTGTATAGGATCTGATATGATTTAAGTCCCCGACTAAGTCATCTAGCTCTTTCTGATAAAAGAAATGTGGAGGTATGTTTAACCATGCTTCTCTAGACGCCAAATCATCACCCAGTTCCCAAGATAAAGCTCACAGATGAACTGGGAATTTACAGTTACTGTGCAGCATTTGGGCAAAGGTGGAAACTTCATATTTTTGTAAATCGAAACATTGATAGTGCAATAGTAGTAAATAACTGAGCAGTCATGTAAATAATAACATGCAGTAAAAATATAAACCATTACATGTAAATGGCAGCATAACTAATTTTAATATATGTTTTTTTTCATATATAAATATAAATGTATTTTGGTCACTGCACGATCCGAGAATGGACGCGATAGGAGAAATGCATATCGTAGGCTAAGTTGCTAATGCAGATAAATACTAGAGTTACAGATCTTAATCGAATCAAAAGAGACATTTAAAAATTATCACATGGATAATAATGTCCCAATGTTTGCAGCATATACACAGCCAAAAACTAATTCAAACGAGGCATTCTCTTATATCAGAAAGACCAATGTCCTAAAATACACCAGCACGTTAAGTATAAAACCACTCAAACTTTATTATTACGCCATCAGTGTTAAGTGTTAATTTAAGTGTAAGTAAATGAGGCACTCAGATATCACTTGAAAACCAACATTTTCTTTATTTCTTACAGGACATATGATACATATTTTTTACAGTAGTCCTGGGGGCACACCGATGCTATGGATGCATAAAAAGAATATTCTGCTAAGTTAATATAGAGTAATCCAATTAAGTGAAATACAGTGATTTACTCCTGATCACTGGAGAAATACTTCAGTTATTTCATGGCAACAACTTTTTTAATAAACTGGGCACATTAAAACGTAAATAAATAAAACGTAAGCAACGTAAAATAAAGGGGGAAACTTCCCTTGAAGAAAACACTTCAGCACTAAATGTTTACAGCAAATAAGATGCATTCTCAACTTATTAAATGAAATCCAATGAAAGATGCACCAACACAGCCTAAACACAAAAGCAACGTTTCATTCATGTTATAGGATGGATCATCTAATAAAGATTGATACCTTCATAAGTGTTGTATTTTAATGAAAGCGAAACACTTGACCTTGAGGTATGATACAGCCTCGGGTGAAGGGGAGGTACACTGAATCAATCCAAGGTGGGGAAGAGTAAGTTAAGTTTTTTGGAGCAAGGGTTCCTCACCAGCATCAGGCAGCATACACCATATTTTTATTACAAAATAAAAGTAAGTCATTTCTAGATATAAAAAAAAAAGTGGACGAATCGCACCTTCTCTGTTAACAATGCCAGTCTTCATCTAAGTTGGATACGCATGTGTACAACTTGCATAAGAAATAAGGAACACTGCAACAGACCTACTGGCCTATGCGAGACAGGTCCAATTCTCCCTCCAGCTTAAGCCAATGCCTTGACCTAGTGAGGTCAGACACGTCACTTAAGGGAGGAGCACGGCATCCGACCTAGTAGCACAAGCTAGTCAGGTCCAACTCACACCCACCCACACCCACTCATTTACTTATCCAACCTAATTTTAAAACTACACGTTTTAGCTTCTATGACGGTACCCGGGAGTTTGTTCCACTCATCCACAACTCTATTACCAAACCAGTGCTTTCCTATATCCTTCCTGAATCTGAATTTTTCCAATTTAAAGCCGTTGCTGTGAGTCATGTCTACGTTAGATATTTTTAGCACGCTATTTACATCCCCTTTATTAATTCCTGTTTTCCATTTATACACCTCAGTCATATCCCCCCTAATTATACGCCTTTCTAGAGAGTGCAGATTCGGGCCCTCAGTCTTTCCTCACAAGGAAGATTTCTGATGAACATCAAAATGGTATACAATACCGACAGGTTGTTAGGTAAGACACATATGCAACAGTTAGACAACTTTATTCCGAAACGTTTCGCCTACGCAGTAGGCTTCTTCAGTCGAATACAGAAAGTAGGCAGGAACAGTAGAGATGTGAAGACGATGTAATCAGTCCATCACCCTTAAAGTCGTAGAATTTGAGGTTGTCAGTCCCTCGGCCTGGAGAAGTTCAGTTCCATAGTCAGGAACTATCTGAAGATCAAGCGACAGTGCGGAGACTTAAATACTGTCGGAAGGAGAGGTGCAGGGTAGTAGTAGTAGTAGTAGTAGTAGTAGTAGTAGTAGTAGTAGTAGTAGTGAGAGGCAACTGAGAGGTCATGTCCCTCTCAGATCCAACCCTTCTCACTTGAAAAGCTTGTCCAAGGTGTTTTCTGTACCAAGATGCCACGTGTTGCAGTGTCTGACAAGATGAACATCAAAATGGTATACAATACCGACAGGTTGTTAGGTAAGACACATATGCAACAGTTAGACAACTTTATTCCGAAACGTTTCGCCTACGCAGTAGGCTTCTTCAGTCGAATACAGAAAGTAGGCAGGAACAGTAGAGATGTGAAGACGATGTAATCAGTCCATCACCCTTAAAGTCGTAGAATTTGAGGTTGTCAGTCCCTCGGCCTGGAGAAGTTCAGTTCCATAGTCAGGAACTATCTGAAGATCAAGCGACAGTGCGGAGACTTAAATACTGTCGGAAGGAGAGGTGCAGGGTAGTAGTAGTAGTAGTAGTAGTAGTAGTAGTAGTGAGAGGCAACTGAGAGGTCATGTCCCTCTCAGATCCAACCCTTCTCACTTGAAAAGCTTGTCCAAGGTGTTTTCTGTACCAAGATGCCACGTGTTGCAGTGTCTGACAAGATGAACATCAAAATGGTATACAATACCGACAGGTTGTTAGGTAAGACACATATGCAACAGTTAGACAACTTTATTCCGAAACGTTTCGCCTACGCAGTAGGCTTCTTCAGTCGAATACAGAAAGTAGGCAGGAACAGTAGAGATGTGAAGACGATGTAATCAGTCCATCACCCTTAAAGTCTTCACATCTCTACTGTTCCTGCCTACTTTCTGTATTCGACTGAAGAAGCCTACTGCGTAGGCGAAACGTTTCGGAATAAAGTTGTCTAACTGTTGCATATGTGTCTTACCTAACAAGATTTCTGATACATGCGATCAACTTTGTCATTCTCCTATGTACGTTTTCCAGTGCACTGATATCCATTCTGTAATACGGTAACCAAAACTGCGCAGCATAATCTAAATGAGGCCTAACCAAAGATATACAGAGTTGAAGAACAACCTGAGGACTTGTATTATTTATACTTGTTGCTATGAAGCCAAGGATTCTGTTAGCATTATTGTGAGCACTAATGCACTGTTGTCTTGGTTTTAGATTACCGCTAACTAGAACTCCTAAATCCTTTACGCAATCCGTAATATTAAGATCTACATTATTTAGTTTATATGTGGCATGGTTATTTTCCTGTCCAACATTTAGAACTTTGCATTTGTCTATATTAAACTACATCTGCCACTTCTCCGATCACTGCATCAGTGTATTCAAATCATCCTGGAGTGCTCTAATATCCTCATTAGAATGATTTGGACGGCCTATTTTGGTGTCATCAGCAAATTTACTTATGTCGCTATTTATTCCCTCATCTATGTCTTTATGTAGATTGTGAACA